TCAATCAATCAATCAATCAATCAATCAATCAATCAATCAATCAATCAATCAATCAATCAATCAATCAATCAATCAATCAATCAATCAATCAATCAATCAATCAATCAATCAATCAATCAATCAATCAATCAATCAATCAATCAATCAATCAATCAATCAATCAATCAATCAATCAATCAATCAATCAATCAATCAATCAATCAATCAATCAATCAATCAATCAATCAATCAGCTTATAAAGCGCTATTTCCGCGATGTTCAACAGCGCTCCTCAATGAATTTTGAAAACAGATGGGTCTTGAGATCCGCTCTGAACTTCGCAAGTGATGGAGAAGTAGTCAGAGAAGTAAGTAGAGAGGACCAGAAAAAGCAAAAGCAGATTTGGCTAAAGAGTGTTTAACACGAGTTAAGAAAAAGCGAGAAGAAGAAGATCGTAAACCGGGGCGTTTAGGTTCAATTAATATATCTGATAAATACTTAGGAAATAATTTAGATTGAGACTTATACATGAACGTGCAAATTTTAAAAATTATTCTATACTTTATAGGTAGCCAGTGCAAGGGAACAAATTGCATTTGACATTTTATTTTATTTCATTATTTTATTTTAGTTGTACTGCCATTTTCATTGATTTTATTTAATAAATTTTTAAAGTGAAGTTAATATTAAGATAGCAATATCCCAACGACAAATAACATTTTTTATATCTAAAGCACAAAAACAGCCCTTAAGTGGATTTTTTTAACGTGCTGTTAAAAACATGCTGATGCGCCTAATTTGAAATGTTTTTTACTTTGAAGTTAAGCGCTTCAAAAAATTTAAATGAAGGTCGTATAAACACATGCTCTGCAAAATTTAAAGATGGCGAACTGTGCGTTGCTTTATCTGACCCGGTTATGCCCTAAAACAGGTTTGATTCTGACGATAATTATTTAAAAGTGTTATTTCATGATTAGATATTTTGTCGGCCGTATTTGTAAATTTTTTTCGTGTATTTTGACGCGCGTTTACCGTAGAAATTGACATTCAAAATTTTTGCAATTGTCATCACAGATCACATTATGCCATTTTTTGGTCATAAACTTGAAAAAAATTTAAATTATTAAATTTAACATAGATTATTAAGAGATCAGAGATTTCAGTATTTAATTTTTATTCAAATTTCAATTGTATATGTTACTTAATTTAAGAATTTTGAATAAAAATAATTTAGAATGTAGATTTATTTCTTTTTCTCTTTTCAATATTTAAATATTCAAATTTGTTTAGTTTTTCAATTTAAAAATACCTTAAATATTAAATAAACAATTAAATGAATAAATTATTTAATTTTGTTTAAAGTTTTGTCATCAAGTCTGTCACATGCAAATCGCTTGTACAAAGTAAGTTTTAATTAATTAATTATTATGCAATAAAGCGAATGAAGACAAACTATAAACTTTTAGTGATAAATTTCATATTAAAATTTATGTATATACATGGGAAAATAAATATTCATAGCTCTTTTTAAAAATCTGTCCTAACTATCTATTAATTTAAAATCTTCTCCCTCTCTAGACAAACCTTCGACACATCTCACAGACGTGCGGTCGATATGCAGTGGCAGCGGCCAAGAAGACATACGTGCGGGACAAACCTCACCTGAACGTTGGTACCATAGGACACGTTGACCATGGAAAAACTACACTGACTGCTGCCATCACAAAAGGTGGCCACGCCCACTAATTATTATTATTATTATCATCATATGTTATTATTTTCTATTATAAAATTATTGTAATATTATTTGTGTTATTTTTATTTATCAATCATTTCCACTTTTTTTAATTAAATTGAAATAAGAACAAACAAATGAAGTACAATTTTCCTTATGTTGACAGTTCTAGCAGACGAGAAAAAAGCCGAATTCAAAGCATACGCTGAGATAGATCGGGCCCCAGAGGAGCGGGCTCGAGGCATCACCATCAATGCGACAACCGTCGAGTACTCAACTGACAAAAGACATTATGGACACGTAGACTGTCCGGGGCATGCTGATTACATAAAGGTTGGCATCATTGTGTTTTTTCGGTTTCATTGTTTAATTATGAGTTGAAATACATAATTAACTCCGCCCCAATACTGCCAATCAATCAAGCAATATGTGTCAGCTGTTAACTAATTCAATTAACCAGTCATATCATTTTACTAATCAAATGACCAACCAATCAAATTTACTGACCAATCAAAATTAACCAACTAAATAAATCAAATCACCCAACCAATAATATTGCAGAACATGATAACAGGGACTGCCCAGATGGATGGAGCCATCTTAGTAGTTGCGGCGACCGACGGTACAATGCCCCAAACCCGAGAACATCTACTTCTTGCTAAGCAGGTGATTGGTTGATTGAATGAATGAACTAATGAATGATTGGATGGGTGTATGGATAAATGAATTGCTGGATGAATGACTATTGAAAAATTAATTTATTGAACGAATGGATGGATTATTTGATGATTATTTGATCCTATGTGTTAAAAGCTAATCGTCGTCGTCATCATCATCCAACCAACCAACCAATTTTAGATTGGAATTGAGAAATTAGTGGTCTTCGTTAACAAAGCTGATGTGGCTGATAAGGAGATGCTGGAACTGGTTAGTTGATTAATTGACTGACTGACTGACTGATTGATTGACTGACTGATTGATTGACTGACTGATTGATTGATTGATTGAATTCTCCAAATAAATGTATTTACCATAATGTTTTTTCTTCATTCAGGTTGAAATAGAAGTGAGGGAGTTACTGAGTGAGTTTGGTTATGATTCGACAGAAACGCCCGTCATTATTGGATCTGCTCTATGCGCTCTTGAGGTCTGTGTGCTTCTTGCCTGTGTGTGTGTGTTTAGTGTGTGTGTGTGTGTGTGTTTAGTGTGTGTGTGTGTTTAGTGTGTGTGTGTGTGTGTGTGTGTTTAGTGTGTGTATGTGTGTGTGCTGATTATTTGGTTGGTTGTTGGATACCTGGTTGGTTGATTGAATGATTGATCATTGAAATATTTTTTGTTACATTAAAACATCTCCAACACCTGCAAACACTTCCCTACAGAACAAGCAGCCAGACATAGGGAAAGACTCCATCAAGAAGTTATTGGACGCCGTCGACTCGTACATACCCCAGCCGACCAGGGAGCTAGATAAACCGTTCTACATGCCTATCGAACAGGTCTTCACCATTGCTGGTTAGTTTTGCCATTGTTTGTTTGTTTGTGTTGTGTTGTTGTTGTTGTGTGTGTGCGGTGTGTGTGTGTGTGTGTGTTAACCTTTCTTCAGATTTGCTGAAATTTTTAAGACTGCATGTTTTAAATTAAAATTCGTTTATCTATTTAATTTTTTTTCATTGACCAACTCATCATTTATCAACCAGTTAATCAACCAACCATCCAATCAACCAACCATCCAATCAATCAATCATCCAACCGACCAATCACAGGTAGGGGTACTGTGGTGACAGGAAAGTTGGAGAGGGGAGTCATCAAGAAGGGTGACGAAGCCGTCATCATGGGACATGGCAAGCAGCTGAAGAGTACCATCACTGGTCTGTCTGTCTGTGTGTGTGTATGTCTGTGTCTGTCTGCTTGTATGTCTGTTACAGCAATTAATTCAACGTAGAGTGCATAATTTAATTAGTACTTCTGCAATAACTACAGTCAATCAAACTTGACAAAACTACAAACACACACAAAAACCACACACACACACACACACACACACACACACACACACACACAGGTGTCGAAATGTTCCATCAAACACTGGACAGGGCAGAGGCTGGAGACCAGATGGGTGCCTTGTTAAGGGGACTGAAGAGGGACGAACTGAGGAGAGGGCAGGTACTGGCTAAGCCCGGGACCATCACCATGCACAACCATTTTGGAGCACAGGTCAGTATTGGCTGAGTGGGATTGGTTAACATAATTTAAGCCGGTGGATTGTTATTGGCTGATTAAGTGAGTTGGGTGAGTTACTATTGGCTAGAGTTGGCACACAAATGATAAATTTGCATAATTTAATGTTTTATCGGGCGATTTTTGAAATTCTTGGCATCATTATCATATAATCAGATCATCCCATAGCCATCAGTATCATCACTACGCAATCACGTGAATGCTTCCAAGGTGTACTTCCTTTCGAAAGAGGAAGGCGGGAAAAACAAGGCCTTCATGAGCAACTTCCAGGCCCAGATGTACTGCAAGACCTGGGACGCCCCCATTCTCATGGAACTCCCCGAGGGCAAGGAGATGGTCATGCCCGGAGAAGATGCCCCTGTCAAATTCCACATCAGGAAACAAATGGTTGGTTGTGATTGGCTGGTGTTTCTATGCTAGATAAGTCGATTGGTGGTTGGTTGGTTGATTGTGGTTGTTCGGTGATGTCATTTTTCTCGTCGTTGTCACTTCGTATTCCTCATCATCTTCATCATCATCATCTTCTTCAGCATCTTTATCGTTATCTTCATCAACGTCGTCATCTTCATCTTAGGTCTTAGAGAAAGGTCTGCGCTTCACGATGAGGGATGGAGGTTCGACCCTGGGCTACGGTGTGGTCACTGACCTCCTCCCGGACGTCGACATCGACAAGCTGGACGAGGAGAGGAAGAAGGAGAAGAAGGCCAGAATGAAGGAAGAGCAAGCAAAGGAGAAGGCTTGACGATGTCATGATGATGATGATGGTGGCGTGATGATGATGATGATGACGTGTTGTGGCGCTATTATGGTAATGTGACGTTGATGCTTTACTGTAACAGGATAATCATGGTGGTGTGACGTCATACTGTGACGTGGTTAGTGATGATGATGATGAACATAATTTTCTGGATGACGGTTGTTATTATGGTTATTTTTAACACATTTAAAAAGCCTGACGATTATAATAATGACGTCACTATGATGATTTGTACTGAGAGGTGATGACGATGATGAAAATGATCTTCTCAACTCATTGATCACGTGATTGATTACGTCATCATGAACTGTTAATGTGTTTCATTTAATTTTATGTCGTTCTAATTTTCCGTGATTTTTTATACAAATAAATAAATAAATAAACTTGGAAAAAAGTTTTTTGTCGTGTGTGTGTGTGTGCTTGTGAATTAATAAGAATTAAGAAATAATAAATAATAATTATTATATTATTATTATTGTTATAATTATTCCCAACAATTGTAATAATAACATAACAATCATGATTGCACACACAGCACGTTGTTAAGTTTAATTTGACGTTGAAAAGTCGTGCTGAGAGAAAATTCAATGAGTGAATGAATGAGTGAACGAAGTAATGAATGAACGAATAAAAAATATGACAAAGGATTAACGATTACGAAAAATGTATGTATGAATGGAGTGAATGAATGAAAAATAGAAGAAAAGAATGATTGAATGGTTGATGAATGAATGAATTGCTAATGAATGAATGAATGAATGGTTGGTGAATGAATGAATGGTTGGTAAATGAATGAATGGTTGGTGAATGAATGAATGGTTAATGAATGAATGAATGGTTGGTGAATGAATGAATGAAAACAATTGAAAAACTCACATTTGAATGAACTGTTGCGTTCTGCCAGATATCAATCTATTTTTATAAATAAAAATAATTTCATACAAAAAATGTGGTTTAGCATTCGTTAGGTAATCCATAAGAATAATAATAATAATTAGAAGAATAATAATAATAGTTAAAGGAATAATAATAATCAGAGAAGGAATAATAATAACTACAGGAAGAATAATAATTATCAGAGGAAGAATAATAGTAATTACAGGAAGAAGAAGAATTATTAATAATATTTTTGTTGTTATTGTCGTTGTTGCTGTTGTTATAATTATAGTTATAATAATTATTTTTATAACTATAATTATTTTGCATAATACTTCCGCACAATCTTGCAGACAATGTCACATGAGTATAGGAAACAAAGTAAGTATGATGATGACGACGACGACGATGATGATGATAGTATAAGTAAAGTAGTAGTAGTAGTAGTAATAATAGTAGTTATAGTAGTAGTAAATATAGTAGCGCAAGCAATAGTAATCTCTATGTGTTATGTGTATATGTTTGCATTTGTATGTGTGTTGTTTTTGTTTGTACTTGTGTGTGTGCTTGCGTTTGTGTGCCTGCGTGTGTGTGTGTTTGTGTGTTCGTGTGTGTGACCTTATTATGTGTAAAATGTGTAGCGAGTAAATAGTAGTTAGATAACAATCCTATCTTACACGCAATTTTCGGTGCAAATGTCAATCAAAATTTTTACCTTTATTTCATAGGATTCATTACTACTTTGTAATAATTATATAATAAAATTACTACATATATATTATATATATACTATATATATATGTATATATATATGTATATATTGTACGCGTGTGTGTGTTTTTGCGTTCGTGTGTGTGTATATCACTATATAATATACATTACAGTTGTAACAATAATAGCAGAATTGTAGTAATAGAAAAATTTGTAGTAGAACAAGTAGCAGTAGTAGTAGTAGTAGCAAAAGAAGTAGTAGCTGAAGCCGCAGCAGTAGTAATAGTAGTAGTTCTAGTAGTAGTAGTAGCAGTAGTAGTAACAGAAGAAGTAGTAGCGGTAGTTGTAGCAGTAGTATACTTCACCGAAATAAAACAAAGAAACCAAGGGTGGCCTAGCGTTTACGATAGATGAATTATATACTTAACAAACAAACATACATCAACGATTAAACAAATAATAATAGCAGAATTGAAGAAAAAGAAGAAGAAAAAAAGATGAAGAAGAAGAAAAAGAAGATGATGATGATGATGAAGAAGGAAAAGAAGAAGAAGCAGAAGAAGCAGAAGAAGATGAAGAAGAAGAAGAAAAAGAAAAGGATTAATAGCAGTAGTAAATAATGAAGCGGGCATTGTAATATAAGAATTTGACTTCGTGAACACCGCTTGGCTTTACAGCGACGTCAAATTCTTTCAATATTTACACACACAACGCAATGAATGGTGATTATTATGAATATAATAGAGAGAAGGAGATAGAGAGACAAAGAGAGAGAAAGGGAGAGAGTCAAAGACAGAAATTCAAAGAGAGTGTGAAAGAGAGAGAGAGAGAGAAAAAAAAAGCACAAATGGAAATTATGGTGGAGATAAAGAGATATAGAATATAGAGAAAGATAGAGAAATAGAATGAGAGGAAGTGAGAGAGAGAAAGAGAAAAATAGAAAGAAAAGAACGAGATAAAAATTATAAAGTAAAAGAGTGAAACCGAAAAAGTGCGGGGATTGAATTGAAAAGTAAAAAGAAGATTGACAGAAAGGGAAAGTGCAGTTCAAAAAACAACGAATAGTCAAAAAGGTAGAAAGATTAGGAAATAAATAAAGAAAAGAAAGAGAGAGAGAGAAAGCGTGATAGAAAGAGAGAGAGAAAGAAAATTAGAAATGTATGTTCATATGTTTTACAATTAAAATTGTCTAACTCGGCATAACAAGCACAGCGTTGCGAAGCGTTATATATACTTCGATTTGTATTGTATTGTAATATATTGATGTCATATATTGATGTTATATTATGTTGTGCTGTTGTTTCTGTTGTTAACATTTGTTAATGTTACGTAAATCTGTGTGGATACTGCTTTGTACTGTCTGTGATGTCTTTGTCTCAACGTAGTTGTTGTTGTCTCAATGTAGTAGTAGTTGTTGTTGTTGTCTTTGTTAGTTTGGTTGGTTTTTTAAATGGAAATTGTTAAACTTAATGAATCTTTTTGCAAGTAGTTAATGAATTTGCTATGGAAAAAACATTGTGTCAGTATTCGTTTGACAATAAAGTTTTGAGATTGATTGCACACAGAACGTCACACATTGTTACACGTACAATCTTAACAATGCAACAACAATATGAACCACATAAACAACAACTACAACAACAGGATTAACGTCATGAGCAACAAGACAACAAGAAGATAATCTTAAACGAAATTGTCCTCATCAAACGATGTTATGGATGTTATGGACAACAACAACAAAAACAACAACACATACACTGACTACCCGAACAACGCCAGCATCTACAACACAGCGGGCTGGCTAGTTGCACTTTTAACCATCGCCATCTTTGGGATCATCCTCGTCGTCGTCTTCATCATCTTCCTAATCGTTAAAATTCGGAAAGAGTCTAAAATCCGGAAATGGTCGGTCCTTTTGATGGGATGTCTTCTGCTGTATGCCATTTTTTGTAGCTTTGTTCTCATGTTTGCCTTTCTGATCAAGCCTTCACTTCAAGTTTGCGGTATTATTAGGTGAGGAATTTTGTTACAATTTTAAAATTCATAATAAAAATAGTAAGAAGAATTGTTATTATTACTTTATTTATTTAATATTATTTCAATGTAATTGACATTTTAAAATGATTTTCATCATTATCTACGTTTGCTCTCTACCAGTGGCGGATCTAAGGGGGTGGACTGAGGGGGTATGGTCTCACCCGCTGTGAGAAGTTTAGTTTTTTAGTTTTTTGTCGCCAGCCACACTACCACAAATAATTTTTGTCCCCCCCCACTTGTAAAAATTTGGCCCCCCGTGAGAATTTTTGTCCCCCCCCCCGTCAAAGTTGTTTCGATTTTCCACTCTTTTCTAGCAAGTTATGTAGAATGTGAAAAACAGTTACATGTAAAATTTGTGAAGGTTTTGCATTGGACCGTGCTACGCGGGAATGTTCGCAGCTATCCTGGTCAAAATCCTCATCATCCTCCTACCAGATCGCATGCATATCTCCCTCCAAATCCTCATTTACTCACTATCTCTCTCCATCCAAGTCATCATCGATATTCAGTGGCTGATAGCGATACCGCCGAGTGTCGGGTATTACTATGCCGTTCCCCATTACATCACGGTGGATCACTATGGCAACGTGTTGAGGAGTAGAGCAGGTGGTAGCGACGACGGTGGTAAGATGTTCTATCCTCAGTACTGCGAGCCCGGGTTCGATTCCCACATAAAGTCGCTCGTTTATGTTATGCTGCTTATTGGGCTGTGCTCTGTTTTAGTGGCTCTATCATTCAAGTTAGGAAGGTTGAGTTGGAAATGTGTGTGTGTGTGTGTGTGTGTGTTAGTGTGTGTGCGTGTGTGTGTGTGTGTATGCGTGTGTGTGAGTGTGTGGGGTACGTATGAACATATATGTGTGGGTTTATATGGGCTAAAAATGTGTGCTTGTATGTATGTATGTATGAGTATGTGAGACTGCATGTTTGCGTGTACGGTACATGTGTGTTTGTAATTGACACGTGTGTGTGTGTGTGTGTGTGTGTGTTTCCAGTTTTCAGATAGTAGTTCATCAGTGAATGAAACGTTAATACAAAACTGGAATAAATTTCAGCAGCGAACTAGCAAAGAAATTTTAAATTTGAAACAAAAAAAAATTAATTATCACCTGAAAACATCCAAAACAGATACAACCAATCAAAGAGCGCCGACAACATTCCACTCGCCATTTCCTGTTTCGGGACTATCGCCATCTGGATAATGTGGACGATAATCGGAGCAGCGGGAAACCCACCGGAAACGTACGAAACTTCCGGTTTCGCTTTTGGCCTCCTCATCACAGCATTTTTCATACTGATAACTTTATTCGGACCGAAACTATTCGAGTTATATAATCTTAAATGTTTCATAGAAAATGGCGACAAAAATTTGGCGCGAAGGTATGTACTTCCGTCTGTCGGGTGGATGTACGAGGAGGGCAGTGTGAGTGGAAAGGAGAGTGGACGCGTTGGGGAGCGTGGGGGCAGTAGGGGGTCTACCAGATTTATCGATGGAGATAGTGCTTCTGTGGTTAGTGTCAGGTCTAAACGCGAATACGGTTAGTTGGGTTTTTGTTTCTGTCTGAATTTAGTCAAAATTTGCGTCTCGTTATTATTTCGGAACGATACGATTCGATACGACATCGGAATTTCGATATTGAATTTCGACCAGACGATGCAATAAGCCGCCAAATATAGCAAAAATTTTTGTTTCGTAGTCTAAATTACAAAATTTTAATTAACTTATTTCATTTCGTATAATTTCCTAGTTTAATGTATTTTAGCACAGGAGTTTTTTTTATAGTTGTATCGTATGAATAACGAGACGAGATACCTAATATCGTTATTAAATCGAGACGTAGACGTTTACAATTTAGATTTCTTTCTCACGGGTCACGGCACTTCAAACGTCATATCATTTCATAGCTATTTCAATTTTTTTTATATATTTAATTACTTCTTTATATAATTCCCAAAATAAAATCACGCAAAATTTCACTTCAAAACCCACAAGACAATCAGGTATTTGTAGATCCGGACAATCTGAAAGAGGCAACTGCCCTAAGGAGCAGCAGATTAACGAGGCCCGAATCTAACATGCCCACGGCTAATGGTGTAATCATGGAGATTGTGAACTCGCAACATATGGTTCTTAAAAATAATAATAATAATTTTGGTTAGTTCGTTATAATTATTTATTTATATTATTATAATTATTATTGTTTTTGTTGCTAGTGTGACCGTTATTATTATTAATATAATTATCATTATTATGATGAAACAAACTTCTTAAAATCAAAAGACTATAAGTTGGCAAAATATTCTCATCATCTTCACGATAATCTGTTAGACAATTTTAAACATTCTAAATTAATAATTAATACTTTCGAAATATCTCCATTAGGTTTATTTAAATTTTTTAATTTATCGCTCGTCGATATTCTGTGGTGTGATAAATTCTGTAACAGTCTCATTAACTCAGCAATATCATCAACATATTCCTTATATTGTGACAGAAATGTCATTTGAATTAATTTTAAAACTAACTCTATCTGGTTGTACTCTTTTTAATTTTTGATGAGCTTCGTAGATTATGGTGATTATTATATCATTTAATTAATAATTTAATTTCTCATAATTAGTATTATTATATTATTATTGCAATCAATTATCATTATTATTATTATTATATCGACTCTAAAAAAAAATTTTTTTTTGCAAATACAAACCAGCCGACCAGTTCAACAGAAGACAAACAAACCGGTTGAGCAATAATAATAATAATAACAATAACAACAACAATAATAATAATAACAATAATAATAATAATCCTAATATAGCCATTGTCTACCTCAACAAATTTCCGACGCAATTAAACAGTAATATAAACAACAGTAACGAGTATAGTACAAATACTACTACTGCTGCTACCACTACTACTGCCACTACTACTGCCACTAATACTACTAATACTACTACAAAGTATAATAATAATAATAATAATAACAATAGTATTAGAAACCACACCAACAACAACAAAACAGTCAATACAAGTTACAGAAAAACTACTAATATTAATAATGGTAATAATGATAATAATAATAATTACAATGATAATAAACGGATGGTGATAGATAGGGGCCCATCTAGGTACACTCCACGAAAGGTGCCAATGATTGGCCCTGGCTCTCCAAGGGCCCCATATTTACGTTAGTGAAATTGGCCATGATTAATTGAAATATAATAGTTAATAAGATAATAATTTGTTATTTAATATCGTTATTAATTGATTGATTGGTTGATTGATTGATTGATTGATTAAATTTTTTGGGAGAAAGAATGAACTACGTAATTGTTTGTAATTGAAATTGGCTATAGTTCAATTTTCAGCACATGTGAATCAGTATGGAATCAGTGCATTTAACATCTAAGACACTAAATTTCATCATAAGCCTCACCAACAATTTTAAGATGGAATATGTTTGTTTCCAGTGGTTTTATGACAGATGGGTCAACAGATGAAGGAGAAAACAACGGAAGAATCGTTATTTCGCAACTGGCCAATCAATTTGTTTTAAATTCCGCAAATTTAATTAACATAATTAATTATAATTAATTCACAAATTATACGTTAATTAATAAATATAAGTAGTTACTATATCCTTTTTATTAAAGAAAATCTTCTTTCAATGATAATAAAGATGATTGAGAAGTGATGAAATGTGGTAAATTATCCACTTTTATTTGACAAAAAATGATTCATAAATCAAGAACTTAAATATAAAAGCAAGAATAAAACCACAAAAAATGACATGATCAGGTCTTAACTAAGCGTAAAACTTAAAGTTAAAATTGTAAAATATTTCAAATTTTCATAAAATAAATAAATATACACTTAAATTTTATATTTTATTTATTTTCATCGTCATCGTCTTCTTCGCCATCATTATCTCCCGCTCTAACTCTCCGTGTTAGAATAGGTGGAAGGCTAATGAAAACTGGCTCAAAGAATTTATTTAACAATTTAAAATCACCTCCAGGTTGCATGCAGTAACTTTTGTGATTATCCTAGTTTATAACCTTGTTGCTGTTGTTGCTCTTTACTTTGTTGTTGTTGTTGTTGTTGTTGTCGTTGTTGTTGCTGCTGCTGTTGTTGTTGTCGCTAACGTTGTTGTTTGGAAATGAAAAATAATTTTTCCAAAAAATTTCCCGCCATTTTTTGAAAAAGTTCTTGGCGGGACAGACGGCGGGGAGATGAGCTGATTGCTACATTCCTTTTTTGGCGCTTCATTACATTTCACATTTTCCTGTTTCACTACCGACATTACAGGATTCAAGTAAAAATTTCCTGATTGGAGATCTGGAAGAATTGGAACTTCTATTGGCATGGGCATTTTAGTGTAACAGTCATTCACTGACTCAGCTGGGTAAGTCAATGGACTACCCATCATTTCGTTATTACAGTTAAGCTTTATATTTTCGCCATTTTTGGAATCATTCTTGGAAAAAGTTAAAAAATACGGGGAAATTCTAAAACGTGGTGCTTTTGGGTAGGTCTTCAATTCATACAAATCTTTTAAATTAACGTAATCTGGCGACGAGCTACAGGGACGGCTTAAAGGGGCATGTTGTTCATACATTAGCCGGGGTTCGGGGGGACTATTCTGCTGTTGAAAATAGCCCACGCCAAATTTTGTTGGGTGTTTGGGTGGGTTATATTTTAGCTGAGAGTAACATACGCCTGGTTTTTTTATTCTCCTTGGAGGAATTTCAGGGTTTCTTACTTTTTGATGTTTTAGTACATCAGCATGTTGGAAAATAGTTGCGCTTATTTCTGTAGCGTTTGTCTGAAGATTTGTAAGAAGAGAAGGAATGGCAACTAGAGAACGTGAGAAAGTAGGCTGAACTGGATTGTTGCTAGCACTTTTGTTGTAAAATTTCTCAACATTGTCGTTGTGATGTGGGGGTCTTGGTCTTGCCGGAGTGCTACCCTCATGGCAAGGGGCATTTATTTTTCTGAGACTAGCCCCACCATTAGTACCTCTATCTATATTATCGTTACTAATATTAATGTTATTTATTTTATTACTATTATTTACAATATTATTCATAGTCTTATGATTTTTATTATTAATCTAGAAATTAAAATGATCTATTTTTTCAAAAATTGCACAATTATACATTTCCTTGTCCGAATCATTTAACAACTGGGATAGAGTTTTGTGAATTATTTCCGGCTTTGATGAACTAGTTGTGGAGTGATTAGGCGAGGTTGGTTGTTTTTTCGGCGTCTGACATACATATTTCTCTGTTCCGATGTGATTCTGGATTGATAATATCTCTTCGTCATAAGTACCGACTGGTGAATTGTTGTGTTTTCTGAGGAAATGTTTAACATTGAAAGAAATCTTGTATAGGTCGTCATTTTCATCATCATCTTCATCATCTCCATCATCATCTTCATCATTTTCACCATCATCTTCGTCGTCAGTTAGCATAACTATCATTTTTGTTGAATTACTAGAAGAGTTAGATGCAGTTAGATCGCTGTAGATGATTTTTTGCTTTGACTTTTCAGGTTCACCAGTTGGAAGATTTAGTGGAGGTGGTTGTCCAGTAGGCGTGTGGCATATATATCCAACCAAATTTTTGTAATCTGGAACTGATATCCTCTCGTCATCGCAATTGTTTTGCAAAATTTTTTGTCTACTGGTTTGTGTTTTGTCGAAATTATCTTCACTCTTAGCATCAATGAGACGATTCCTGTGAAATGTAATCAAGTCATTTCCATCCAGATTATTATTGAATCTCTTACTTTTCATCTTTATAGCCGCTGAAAACTCCTTAGACTCGATAGGATATATTTTAGGATTTATATATTTCTCTGTTGAAATCAAATCATCCCTCTCGTAATAGTCACCCGTGTTAAGAAGTTTTTTAATTTCCGTAACTTCATACTGAGGTACGGGTTGGTGAACAGAGCCGTGATGTATACGATACGAGATTGGGAATCGGATATTTGGAGCGAATGTTTTTGTGTCGACTGTGTTGTCATCGTCGTTGTTAATATCGTTGTTGTTGTTGTAGTTGTTGTTTGAAACTAAAAAACTCTCTCTAGATAAACGTCTATCCATTTCTAAACGGTTTAACCCAAAAAGTATTAAAACAACAATTAACGGATATGTTTCAGATTGTTGAATCAGAAAACGTATCAAAGGATATTTATGGTATCAATGTATCAAGGGTACCAATGTATCAAGGGTATCAATGTGTCAAGCGTATCAAAGCAACAATAGCTTCGCACTGGAAATTTTTTTCAACTAATAAATTCAATGTAATATTATTAATCAATAAAACACTTTAAAAATCATTAATTTTATTAAAGTAATATAGTTTCTTATTTATTAAATTAAAACAAATTAAAAATTAATTTTACGAAAGGAATGGCTGACCTTATGAAATTCATTAGATCAAAATTTACTTATATAGCCAATAGAGAATCTAGAAAATAGACAATATTAATCATATTAACAAATTAACCATGATAAAATAAATAATACTAACATTTTACTAAATTACTAACTAGATATCCCAAATTAATTTTCCCAAACTAAATGTCACAAATTAAACATTACTTAAAGCAAAGTAATATTACTAACATATTACAAACGTTTAATGATCTTAATACAAAGAAGTGTTTATCCACACACACACACACACACACACACACACACACACACACACACACACACACACACACAAACACACAAACACACACATGAATAATAATTATAAAAATAATAACTTTTCTGTGGAAACGACATTGTGAGCCATTATTACATGTGGTTAGTTTGATTTCTACGCTTCTACGCTGTCCTTCGATCATTTTTTAACCGTGATTTGTCAATCATTCTTTCATTCCTTTTCTTAGTCATACTATTTAGATGATTATTTTTGTTTATAAATTCATTCATCTATTCATTCATGCATTCATTCATGCATTCATTCATTCGTTTGTTCGTTCGTTCGTTCATTCATTCATTCAGTCAGTCAGTCAGTCAGTCAGTCATTCAGTCAGTCAGTCAGTCAGTCAGTCAGTCAGTCAGTCAGTCAGTCAGTCAGTCAGTCAGTCAGTCAGTCAGTCAGTCAGTCAGTCAGTCAGTCAGTCAGTCAGTCAGTCAGTCAGTCAGTCAGTCAGTCAGTCAGTCAGTCAGTCAGTCAGTCAGTCAGTCAGTCAGTCAGTCAGTCAGTCAGTCAGTCAGTCAGTCAGTCAGTCAGTCAGTCAGTCAGTCAGTCAGTCAGTCAGTCAGTCAGTCAGTCAGTCAGTCAGTCAGTCAGTCAGTCAGTCAGTCAGTCAGTCAGTCAGTCAGTCAGTCAGTCAGTCAGTCAGTCAGTCAGTCAGTCAGTCAGTCAGTCAGTCAGTCAGTCAGTCAGTCAGTCAGTAGTCATCCAGCCAGCCAGCCAGCCAGCCAGCCAGTAAGTCTTGTAAAATTTATTTGATAAGAATCGAATATAATCTTTATACCGGCAAGTTCACTACCATACTGCTAAATAACTACAGTTAATTTTTAAACTTTATTATTTTGTTCGCTAAAATTCTTAGAATGTTATCTCAAATTTTTGTTCTTTATTATTCAATAATGACATCCTCATATGCAAAACTGCTTACGTGTCATTTTCTAACCATTCAAGTTAAAAATATTTACCGCAGGACGCACATACATATACAGTCTTTATGTTTTGGACAGAGAGCTCTGGAACCAAGCTATCGCATGATAACAGTGCGAGGCACTCCTACAGACTGAGCTAACTTGCCGAAAATTCATGAAAATTAATGATTAGCGAAGTTATTCATTTAAATATATAATACTGATGATATGTAAGCTACGGTGCAACACAAAACGATATTATTACAAAATTTGAATTTTCTTCATTATGTATAAATGAACTCCGAATCTTAATCCTGTGAAAAATTCTTTCACTTGCAACGGCTCCAAATCCGTAAAATTAACCCATAAATACATGATTTGTGGTAACTCGTTAATTCGTAATATAACCAGCGTTGGAGAGAATTAATTTCTTTTTTAATTTACATGACGATCAAACTCGTGACTAAATATGCGATTTTAAAATCAAAATAGAAAGGTTAATTAATATTTTCTTAAAATTATTTTGAATAACATAACATTTGAAGTGAATTGAAATCTTTAAATAATATACTTTGTATATATTATTAATCATTCATCGTTAATGTTATTATATTAATGCTATATATAGGGCATTAATGTTTAAGTTGAAAATAAAAGTAGAAAACAACTGAAGATTGAAAAAATCAAATCAGGAGCAACAAATTAGAAATATCAAAATTAAGAAAATCAATATATGGAAATAAATCCGTCCATTCATTCATTCATTGATCCATCCATCCATTTATTCATTGATCCATTCATTCATTCATCTATCCATTCATCTATCCATTCATTCATTCATCTATCCATTCATTAATACATTCATAAAAATTGCTTGACGGTTTTTATGACGCGGCTTAACTCGGTCGGATATCGTTTCTTTCCTAGAGTCTAACTCGGTGTATAGCATTGGAAGGGTGAATTCCATTTTGGGTAGGTTAATTTTCGTATTTTTGCCATCAACATCAGCAATAGCGTTATCAGCTTTAAATTTATTTTCAAGCTCACTAGCGAGCCTAAATGAGATGTCATTATTCATCAGGTTGTCATTTTTTGCAATTGGAATTTGCTGGATTTTAGATGTGTTTGCTCCGTTTTTGAGTTGTTCGTTTTCTGATTTTTGGAGCCTTCGACGAAGGACTTCTTCACTGTTGGGTTGATTTTGTGATGGGTTGAATTCAGCTAACTGATCGTCTGCGGTTGTTTGCTCTGTGTTAAAATTAGTGTTTACGGCTGTTTCATTTTTCAAAATTTCTTCGCATGCATTAGAACCAGATTCAACCGTGACTTCAAAAGAATAATCTTTGGATGATTTTGTAAAATCATCATTGCTGCAACTTCTCAAGTTCTTTTTCATTTCACTTGCTAGTTGACAACAATAATTTTCAATTTGATTGAGTGTGTAGTTACTTAATTCGGGGTTGTTTGTGTTTATCGTGAAATTGAACTGCGATTGGGCTGATTTCGTGTGACTGGATTCTATTTCGATGTTGTTCGTTTCGTTAAGCGGTGAACCTGGAATGTTTCCAGAGAAGATTTTTGTTGAATTGGCTCCATTTTCGTCTGAATTATTCATCGGTATTTTGAAGCACATTTCCGCAAATGTAGGTTCGTCATAATTTTTCTTTTTCATATCTACTACTACTTCGTTAACATTCAGGTTTTGATTTTCATCATAAACGTCTTCACTCTCAAACTGCAGACTGAATGATTGTTCCAACTTATTCTCACAATAAAATTCGACAGTTGTTGAATGCATGCAGTTGTATGGGTAGTCCAGGAGTATTACGTCAGATTCGGATGATTCAAACATCTCGTCAGGATTTACTTTACACTGATTGTTATCTGGTGTTATGAAGAGTGTGATGATATGTGTTGTTTGTGGTGGTAGTGTTGCTGTCCTGTCTCTTTCAACAAATTCATCGTTATTAATTTCACTGGTGTCAGTTTTGCATTCGTAGGTTGTTGACATATTTTGAAATTTTCTCACAAAAGGCTGTTTAATTTCTTTTGGTTTCTCGGTTTCTCGGTCATTTTCTAAGAATTTGTTATTATCATTTTTGTTTATGTTAGTTTCATATTCGAATGCTGATATAATTTGAGATTTTTTCCCAAAGGGTAGTTTTATTTCTTGCACTAAACGGTCTATAGATGTATTTGATGTGTTGCTGCATCCACTAGATTCATCTTCACCAATTTCATTTTCTTCAGTTTTCAGATCTCGGACTAATGAATTAGTGTTGGATCTAGAGTCGTTTTTACTGATTTTATTCATAAATTTGTATTCTAATTTACAACTTGATTCTTCAAAAACTGAATTCCATTTTTCAAACGAGTCTGTAGCAGCTTCTTGGATGAAAAACTCCTTCGATATACTTACCGTTTTGTTAAAGTTGTCACAAGACTTAATTTCACAAATTCCTACATTTTCAGAGTTTGGCATGTCAGACCTAGGTACATGGGAGGCTTTAAGAGGATGTAATTTTGTGTTATTTGGGTTTTCTAATCTTCCTACTAATTCTCCCAGAAAGGATTCCCAGTTTTTGGGAATGTCAATCTGTTGACTGCAACTATTGTCTAGAGATGTATCTTTTGTGTTTCTGCTGCTGTTGGTTTTATCATCATCAACTTTACTGCCCGAGCCACATATTGGTGCCGCATTTTTCGATTTACAAATAGTTATTACAGATGTACGCGATTTTTTCAACTTTTTTGTTCTCGATTTTAAAGTTTAATTCTTCAAAAAGTGAACCCCATTTTTTACAGGTGTCTTTGCCTGTGGTAGTAGTAGTAGCAGCAGCAGCAGTAGTAGTAGCAGTAATAGTAGTAGTAGTATTAGGGGTAGTATTAGGAAATGTAGTAATAGTAGTAGCAGTTGTTAGCTCCGTAGGTATAAAAAGTTCTGTCATGGATTGGGTTGGTTTTTTTCCTATTCAAATTTGGTTCTTTCGTTGCAATCTTTTTTCTGTCAAAAAAAAATTAAAAATAGTATAATTATTATTTATAATGAATGAATGAATAAATGGATGAATGGATGGATGGATGGATGAAAGAATGGATAAATGGATGGATGAATGAACGAATATATGAATGGGCAAATAAACGAACGATTAAATGGACAAATGAATGAATGAATGAGTAAAATAAATAAATGAATGAATAAATAAAATGAATGAACAAAAGAATGAATAAATTAAGTAATTAAAAACAAAATTAATAACAACAACATCAAAATTAAAATCTATAAAATTCTACCTACCTTAACATTTTGGCTAAACTTCCAAATTCCAATTTGAAACTAATAAAGACCAATAATTAAGCTTAAAGTCGTCTATTTCATTTTATAGTAAAAGTTATATATATATATATATATATATATATATATATATATATATTCATTCATTAATTCATTCATTCATCCATTCATTCATTTATTCATCTTTACAAAATGATTCATTACTACTATTATTAATAGTATTATACATGGATATATTTTACAGAAAAGCTATGATCAAAATACTAATTAATCTTCCTTTATTGTTAGAAATTTGTTATTAATGTTGTTAATAAAATTCCATGGAAGTATTTAAGTTACACTTATTATTTCCTTTTGATTCTTTTCCTGGCATAACTTAATCATGGCTATATAATTGTCGATATCTTACTTAGGCCTAAACTCACACACACACACACACATTCACACACACACAAACACACACACAAACACACACACATCTATTCAATCACTAATTATTTATCTCAAAGTCTTTTGGCAGCAATTCAACAAATTTAAAGACTTCTATGTTAAATCCAGCCATTCCACTTTTTTAAGCAGACATCATTCGATTTTAAATATACGGTTTTTCAATTAGTGATAGTGATAACGCTAAATTAACGTCTACCCAAGAAGATAGAAGTTTAAATCTTAGGCTACATATTTCAAAATTTAAAGCTGAATGGGAGATCATGAAGCGATAAGATGATTGGTCTTGCCTTGCTTTGCCAAGCCCACCAAACTGGGATTGTTTAGGTTGTGTTGATACACACATATTCAAGTATCTTTTCTCTCTCTTTCTCACTGTGTGTGTGTATGTGTGTGTGTGTTTGTGTGTGTTTGTGTATGTGTGTGTGTGTTTGATGCTCATGTTTAATACGTGTTATTAGTGCCAGAAGAATACCACCCTGTCAGCATTAAATTGTCCCTTAAATTTAATGCGCTATCCGAGTGTGTTCTATTTGGTGGAGTGTCTGATTGAATTATTGAAGTTTTTAAATAATTGAAATGGTTATATTTATTCAGGATTTTTGAGAGTCAAGTTTAACACGCTGATTCAAAATCAAAATAAATTGGCGGATCCATAGGGATGCGGGTATAGAGAGAATTTTAAATTATCCCACTCCATTGCAAAATTCCGGATCTGATATATGAATTATTGATTAGTAATGCATTTATTAATATGGACTTGTTTCCATTACAGATGGATGTTTGTCAAAATCTTTAAAATTTTTTTTATCTTTTTGAATCATCTTAATTGCAATTTATTGATTATGATTTCAACAATTTATTGATAAACTTACAAGAAGATATACTGTAAAAGTTTTTTTTATGAATATTTTCATAATTTTATCGTGTGAAATTATTTTTTGGATAAAAATTAATGTTGTAAAATTAATAAATTTGTTAATTAAAACCAAAAAATGATGAAAAATTGAAGAGTTTTGTTATGAAATTCAAACTGACATCGGTGAAAAAAACATTTGGTAAGGTGTTAGTATGAACTAAATAAATATTTTGACATAATTTCGTTATAAGCTATTTCATTTTTTCTTCTCAAAACTTCAGGATCACTTTAAAAAAAAAATAATTTTTTCATCTGGAAAGTTAATTTAGTTCAATTTTTCCATTTTCCGATGATGTCTCGCTTCCATTTTGTTGATTTGCAATTATAAACGGCAAATTCTCATAATCAGGTTTATCGGAAACTTCATTTTCTCCCTTCAAAAACAAAGATGGCGATATTTCTTCATGAATTTTCTCAAGGTTGTTACCCATCGCCAAACTTTTCCTGATAGCCTTACCAATCGCGTTTCTCATTTTACCGAATTCAACATTTTGCTCATCGTCAATAGCGGAACCGGAAAGAAACACGAAATCAGATTTAGTTGGAGAAGACACGGATATGCATTCTGGATCACCGCCAGTTCCTCCTACGTACTTGTCGAATTTATCTTTCAGCATCTGAAACCAGGATCTAGAAGAGAGATTTATTTCCTCGTAAAGATGGTCATCGTCGTCTTCGAACGCTTGGTCATTTGTTGAGTTCCTTTCTTCTTTTGATAGGTTTGATATCATTTGGTTGTACAACACTTTGATGGGGTCGGTGTAAGCTGGTTTAGCAGCAGTTTCAGTTTTTAAATCATTTTCTGTTCTACTCATTAGGTCATAAGGTGTTTTATTTTTATTCAAAAAGTCTGCTGTTGGGACAGGAATATCAAGAATTTGAGGTTTATCCTCTGGCTCGCTAACAAAAGACGTTCGTTCGTACATGTAGTTAATAGACTCCAACAATCTGATAGGTTGTGAATAACTTTCTGACTCGAGCACTTGGCATACGTGATCTCCTTCGTTGTTGTCTTCGGTTCTTGCATTGAAACGTTGTCTGAGGACGGGTGTTGCCTGAGGACGTCTGAACAGCGGTGACTTAGAAAACTTCCTCGTATATGTTGTTTCTTGAAACTGTTTAGACGCTGGTATTTTTGGGAGCGGTCTGATCTGATCGGAGGGAAAAGATCTACCCTCCACATTGATTGATGTTATCACCTTCCTGTTGTTGTTATCACCGTTTGCACTTCTGCTTTCCGATCCTGATGGAGTCGAAAATGTTTTTTCCAAGCAGTATTTTGCTTTTAATCTCAATCGCTCCAGCACCGTCGGGTCTATCGAAAATTCATCTTCATCAGCGGTTTCTTCAATGCCGGTTATACTGTTCGCGAGTGCATTTTAGAGAGCAGGCCTGGCTAAATTATCGACACCTCCTTCACGTTTGTTCACTTTGCAATTGAAATCAGAACGAGAACTTAAATATTCATTACTCGCGGCTTTCTGGAAGTTTTCTGGTATCTCAAGAGAGAACGTTGAAGTGGAGAGGTTTGGTCTGGATAAGCTGTCAACGCTTTTGTTATATTTGCTGTAGAGTTGTTTCTGTCTTCTGAGGTGCCATCCTGGTACCATCAGGAAGTTCGGGTGGCCAGGTTGGGATGTAAGGGTCTCGGCGTGGTTGCTGCTGCTGCTGCTGCTACTGATACCGCCGTTGGATGCTCTCGTCGAATTTGTCGCTTCTTTTTCCGACTTTCCCTCCTTTTTTCCCTTCTTACCTTTTGTCGCTCCGATGAGTTTCTTCCTATAATTTTTTTGAATGTTTAAATTTTTTAAATATATATACCAATTTATTTGATTAATTCTAGAAAAAATTATTCATTTTTAATTTGTCACTATCAAAATTTCCAAAAAAATAAATTAGAGAAACCGTAATCTATCTCACATTCTAAGGCTGCTAATAGAGTTCTGAAAATGAAGTTATCGGTAGCGTCTCTATTCTTAAAAACGATTCCTATGTGTAAAAAATTATTTTAATTTATTTAATAGTAATTAAATTAAATTAAAACCTAAATATTTATAAACTTTAATAATATTATTTAAGAAACATAATTGAAAGATACTTATTTCCATAATTTAAATATATTAAATGATTGAATGAACGAATGAATGAACGTATAAATTACCAAATGAATGAACGAATGAATGAACGTATAAATAGATAAATGAACGAACAAGTGAAGAAATAAAATGCAAAATTAATACATAATAATGCTAACACGAAATACCAAAAAATCTTTCCAACCAAAAGCCTCTTCAGTCAAACTAAACGTCTATGATCAGTTTTTCCAAACAATATATACAAACAAAATTTTTTTGGCGAAGATGATGACAAATTTTAAAAATTCGACATATTATTAAAAAGAAACCTTAATTATTAATTACATTAATATTGTTTAATTAAATCATGAATTATTGCTATTATTAATATAATTAATTGTGAATAATAATTCTAGTTTTTTTTCTCAGTGACTCAATAAATTGGTAAATGTGAGAATTTATTATATATACATGTGAGTGTATGTGTCTATGTATGTGTCTTTGAGTGTGTGAATGTGTGTATGTGTATGTGTGTGAGTGTGTGTGCGCGATTATGTGTGCGTATGTAAATAATTTCATAATTTTCAGATGAAATCATTGGATCATATTATGGCTGCTAGTAATTATAATAATGAAGCTATTATATTTTACTAAAATGTGCTAAACTATTTTATCAGTCTGGCATTATTACATCCCAGAACGTTTTGATCGCTATGTAAGCAGTCATTGTTTGGTTAAAATTCTTGCTAGGGTGTAACTTATTTAATAAAACATTAATGATAAATTTAATTACATCACCGAATGTTGTTTAACTGTTGTAAAAATTTTGCTTTACTATACTTTCTACTCATAGATCAGGTGTGGGCAAACTTTTTGCTGTGAGGGCGGCATTGAAAACTATTTTATCTTTGAAGGACCTCATATGTACTTTAATAGCAAATTTTTTCGACCCGGGGGAGAATTTTTTTAAGATTTGTAGCTCCTTTTTTGATCATAATGTCTGGCTGACAACCTTTTATTGGCAAACATGGCTTAGCGGGCTGCATGCGGCCAGCGGGCCGTAGTTTGCCCACCCTTGTCATAGAGTGAAATTTTAATAGTTTGAAATTATTTAAAAAAATGTATGTACTATACTAGTTTTTGATTGATTACTCACATATATATATATCTTATATATATATATATATATATATATATATATATTTCATATATGACATACTCCAAGTAAAAGGCATTGCTTCAGCAAAGATGGTTTTAAAAATAAAAACTCGCGCATCACTGCTTTTTTAAACTTTTACTTTTAGCCATTCATTTCAAAACAATGTTTTGGGCGGTGGTTTTGAATTTTTATAAAAATTAATAAATTTATCGGCGATTTTTGTTATAAAATGGACGAAGAGACATCGGTTAGTTATTAAAAACGTAAAAAAGTTAATTCACATTCAGGCTTGAGTCCGGAATCACAATTTATTTTTTGATTGAAAATGGCGTCGCTCCCCTGACTGACTGTCTGTCTGACGCTTAAGACCTAATGTCCTAATTAAATTTTCGTGCTTTCATTTTGTTTTTGAATGTCTTCCATTCTAATCTTTTTTTTGTTTTTATTGAAGTTTTGAATGATAATCGCAAAACAGTTCATGATAAATAAGATTATCTGTTATTATTTTTGCACTTTTTAATTAATTTAATTTAAACAAATTTAATTTTATTATTTATTCTAATTCTGACCAACCAACAAATACAGTGGTACAAAAAAAGCTAAACTTTGTTAAACAATGAGCAATTGTGGCGTTATGCACTGCATATTATTGTATTTGTTTGAATGAATTGCAAAAAATATTTTGTGTAATAATTTTTTTTTCTCCAAATATAAAAAAAATCTTAAAATTCTTTTCAATTAAACTTTTAAATTAAATGGCTTTAAAATTTTTCAAATTTATTCAATATTTATTTATTTAAATTATGCTTTTTTGCATATTCATCTGATATTTTGAAAAATTAAATAAAATTCATCTCTAATCAGTAATCACCTTTAAATTATTTAAAATTAGGAGATATTGAATCGTGCAGTGCAGAGAAGAGAGGCTCTTTTGCAAAGACTCGAAGAGGAAGGCCTCAGTTCTTACTTCGCTAACCTCTTCCAAACTTCTGGAAATTTCTATCACAGGATCCCCCAAGATGGATCATCACTGACATCATCAACTTATGAAATTCAAAGTAAGAAGAAATTAAGACGGTCAAGCTCGTTTTCAGATTTGTCTCAGCAGCCAGTTAGAGATAGATTGACGTCATGGAGGTGTCTCGAAGAGGAGCAACAACATCAACAACAGCAGCGGTATCAGCAACAACGTCAGCAACCGTCTCAGCAACAGCTGCTAAAAGAACCACGTCATCATCGCTACAAGTCTATGGTCCATGGAAGCCTAAGCAACATGAATGTCGTCTCTGGCGGTGAAAATAATAATAATAATAAAATCAATAATAATAATAATAGTACTAATAATTTGAGTGAAAATAAGGAGAATGCTACGCCAAATAAGTTGCATTATATTGTTCCTAAATTCAGTTCTTCAAAGGCCAACAACAACAACAATGACATGCTAAATATCAACAACAACAATAATAATTTAATTACAAAGACCCAACCAATCCAAGAAATGTGCAATGCTGATTGTAGTAGCGGTAGTGATGATGATGATAATAATAATAATAACAATAATAATATTGGTGATAACAACAATAATGATAATAGCAATGATATAGTGACAACATCACCACCATCTTCCCAATCATCACCACAACCACCAGGCATCATTCCAGCTCCACCGCTACTCCCGTCAACATCAACTGGGGGGGGGAATTGGAAAAATAAAAATAACAACAACAACAATAATAATAATAACAATAATAATAATAATAATTCTACAAAGAAGAATAATAATGCAAAAGATGCTGCCAAAGGAAGCGCGGATTTCACCAACGAGCTCAAAACTAGATTGTGCTGCAGAAACAAACACAACAACAACAATAATAATAACAATAACAACAACAATAATAATAGATGTTGTGACAGTAATAGCACTAACAGCAAGAAAATCACATCAGCAGTTACCAGCAAAAAGAGTAAGACGACGTCAACTTCTAATATTAATGCTAGTAGCAATAAGAGTTATAATAATAATAATAATAATAGCAATAATAATAACAACAATAACAATAGTGCTAATAGTAGTAGTAAACAGCTGATGGCAAGGCAAAACAAAAATCCTACTACAACAACGACAAAAACTTTGGCCGTTTCAACAACAACAACAGCAGCATCATCGTCGTCGTCAAGATCTTCAACAACAACAACATCAGTAACAACAACGATTGCAACATCGTCATCATCAGTAGGCAGTAACAATGTTGCTGGTTTTAAAACTTTCAACATATGCCCCAAGCCATTCTCTAAGCAAAATTTTCAAAATCAAAAGTTCTCGTCTGTTAAATGCTTTCTTACTTCAAAACCAACTACATCATCATCAACAACATCAACAACAACATTGGCAACAACAACATCAACATTGGCAACGTCAACAACAGCAAAGACATCAACAACATCAGATGTTGTGAGAAGTGAATTCAATAGCAAGCTAGTTGATGGTTAGTTTAGTTTAGTTTAGTTTAGTTTAGTTTAGTTTAGTTTAGTTTAGTTTAGTTTAGTTTAGTTTAGTTTAGTTTAGTTTAGTTGGTTGGTCAGTCAGTCAGTTAGTTGTGTATAATTATTTGATTGGTTGGTTGGTTGAATGATTGACTGACTGGTTGGTTGGTTGATTGATAAATTGCTAAAATCAATCATCATTATCAATATCAGCATCTCTATAATCTTCATCGACTTCTCAATCATCGTCATTTTAATATTTGAAAATCTTCTATCATCATCATCAATTCTATCATCATTATTATCATTTCTAGCATCACCATCATCATCTGTATCATCATCATCATTATCATCATCTCTATCATCATCATCACCACAGACTTCCAGCAAAATATGGTTGCCATGGGTTACCAGCTGCAAGCTGCTTCAGAACTCGTCCTTGAACTTGATGATGACTCAGTAGATAATAATAAAAACAATAATAACCTCAATAATAATAATAACGATGATGATGATGATGATGGTGATGATGATGGTGACGATGATGATGACACAAATAGTGGCAATGTAAAAGTTAAATCATTCAATTCCATCATTAATAAGTTCAACAATAATAGCAATAATAATAATAAAATAAAACAGGTCAATAATAATAATAATAATAACAAACTAAGGTCTCAAAACCAACCAATAGCCGCAAATAATAATAATAATAAATTTAATAGTAATAAATTTACCAACAAAGCCAACATTAATTGTATTAACAGTGTAAAAAATAGTACAAATCATAATATCATCATTACTACTACTACTAACGCTGCTACTGCTACTACTACTACTACTACTACTAGCACTGCTACTACTACTACTACTACTGCTGCTACTAGAAATATTTATAATAAAGATAATAATAATAATAAAGTTAAAACCAGCATTGTTGCTACTACTAGTACTAATAGCAAAAATAACAGTAATAATAATAAAAATAATAATAGAGTTAGCAAAACTAACAATAATAATAATAATAATAAAATCGATAATACTGATAATAATTATAACAACGATAATATCTGTAACAATAATAACAATAATAATAACGACAATAGTATTAGTAGAGGAGGTATTTTAAAGAAGACGAGTAAATATAGCCCGGCTAAAAATAACTTTGGCGGGAAAACCAAAATAAGTAAACAGCTCCAAAATCTCGTTATCAGTGATAACGACAGTTTCGATAGCGTCAAGAGTCCACGGAAGTTGCAGTCCGCCCAGAAGATCACAAATAAGCTCACCATAACCAATATAAATAAGAGAAATATTTATGATCGTTTGGCTATCGATGATGACGACGATAAGGATGATGGCGGTGGTGGTGATGATGATGATAACGGTATTGGTGGTGGTAATAGTAATAGCGGTAGTAGCAGTTGTGGAAATTCTTGTAGCCTGGATAAGAGTTCTTTGAGGTGAGTTTTAAGTTTGTGTGTGTGTGTGTTTGGTTTTTCATGGCGTGTTTCTTGTTTTCTCTCTCTCTCTATCACATTCTTTATCTCTCTCTCTTTTTCTCTCTTTTTTTCTTTTTCTCTTTCTACGTGCTTTCTTCTTTCTATGTCTTCTTTTTTTTGTTTGTCTATACTATGAACCTGTGTAAGCGTTTTCAAGTTTGTTGGTTTAATATTTGCTCTTTCTCTCTCTCTCTCTCTCTTTCTCTTTCTCTCTCTCTCTCTCCGTACAAGATATATCAGACAGTTTTGTATGCGTACCATTTGTATGTATGTATAATCTTATATTTTATACCATCTCTTCATTCATTAATTTTTCTTCCTTAAAAAACATCATCTGCTCAGCCACGGAAGCGTCTACGTCACCGGCGACAACAACCGGCACAATGACGTCATTCATGACATCATCATCAATAACAACAACAATAATAATAATAACGTTAATAATAACAATAATAATAACTTTAATAATAACTTTAATAATAATAATAATCATGGAATGAGGCCCAAAGAGACTTATTTCAGTGTTACAGATATCCACAACAGCAATAATAATAATATTAACAATAATAATAATAATGTTGATGGTAATTGTAGTAATGATCATGTTTACATTCACATGTGCCCTAAGAAGAAAGTTTGTTTGTTTGCAGGCTTGTTTGTTTGTTTGTTTGTTTGTTTGCAGGCTTGTTTGTTTGCTTGCAGGCTTGTTTGTTTGTTTGCAGGCTTGTTTGTTTGCTTGCAGGCTTGTTTGTTTGTTTGCAGGCTTGTTTGTTTGCTTGCAGGCTTGTTTGTTTGTTTGCAGGCTTGTTTGTTTATATTATTATTATTATCATTATCATCTTCGACATTATCAGATTAAGAATATGAAATCAGTCAATAATGAGCGTTATGGTGATGACGACGACGACGATGATGATCGTGACTATCACGGAGATGGGGGTAATCTATATGAAGAGATTGGGTGAGTGAATGAGTGAAATAAAGGAATGAATGAGTGAGTGAGGTGACGACACAACAAATGAATGAGAAATTTTCTGATGAATGATTGAATGTTTGAATAGATTGATTGATTGAAAGGGGGACTGGTAAAAGAAATAAATAAGATGAATTACGAAAGCATGAATAAATTGAAATTAACTTTATCTTATTGCTAAGCTAACTCAGACAATCAGTCTATTGTTTATTCATTCATTTCTTCTCTCTCTCTTTCACTCTCTCATTCTATCATTCATTCTTTCATTAATTCTATCATTCATTCGATCACCATTTCACTCAATCAATCAATCAACCAACCAATCAGATTATCATCGACGTCATCATCGGCGATGACGTCATCAACAGCAGCCAATCACAACCTCCCAGCAGCAGCAACAACGACGTCATCATCATCTCGACCACCGCTTAGGCATATTTCAATGAAGAGAGCATTTAGAATTATTGATAATGATGACGATGACGATGATGATGACGACTATGCCTTCAATGATGATGGTGATGACGACGATTATGATGATGACGATGATGATGTCAGTCATGATGATAATGTGGAAAGTGACAGAGGCTCTGGAGTTATAATAAGGGGTGGAGTTAGAGACCCTCTCATGCCTCCAAAGTTCGTCATGTTTTTGCAAATTAATATTCATATTGATGCTAATTAATATTCATAAGTAGTCTTCAAAACTTGAACAGTTTTTAAACTCGGTCAATGCGCAATAACGGTGCAAGGTTTATCACCCTAACCAGCCATAAACGAAATAAAATCTCATTAATATTCAAATGATATTGTAACTCCTCCCACTTTCTCATATGATTGGCAGGCAGAGACCATTCACGACGACGAATGCCACACTCGACCAGATCAAGTATCGCTTGCAGACGCCAACGCCACCGTCGTCACCATCGACGCTCGGTAGGAATCACGTGATTGGCGATCATCACCTCCACGATCAACATCATCATCATCGTCGTCTGAGAAGGCAGTCCAATCAGTTTGGTGGTTCGTGCCAGAACTTGCACGACAGATTCTTTCCCCATCCTATCAACCACCACCACAACGGCAGCGGTAGTAACAGCAGCAGCGGCAACAACAACAACGATGATGGTGGTGATGATGATAATAAAACTGGCCGTCACCATCTTCCTCCCCAACCTCCTCACCACCCCAACATCACCAGCGGCCACCTCGCCAGCACCACACTCTGTAGATCGGACGACAACCTCTTCGCCAGAATGCCTAAAAGTAGTCGAGACGTTCAAGCCTACAGGAGGCTGGCCGAGGCTCGCCTCAGCGCTAAGAAAACCATCCTCGATATTGATCAGAAGAAATTGCTTCGGAAAGTTAAAGAAAGTCTAGATAGGCAGATAGATAGGCAGAGTAGGAGCAGGAGAGGTGTGAGAAAACCTAGGGGGGGTTCAGGGATAGCTGGACCGGACGTGCCTGCTAGGTCTGCTAGGATGAAAATACAGGTAGGTAGATCGATATATAACCATTAAACTACCTCCAAACTTCAAACAAAAACGCATCACTAATCGTTTAAAATTTCCTGTTTTAAATTTAAATTCACTTTTTACCTACAAATATCCACAGAGCCTGAAGGATATGATTGAACAGGAAGATAAATTCTCCCAGCAGGCGAGCAACGCACTGAACATCTGCCTCAGTAAGTCGAGACAGTGGACTCCGGAAGCCATTGAGTGCCACAGGATACTTCTCACTGCTGGTTAGTTAGGGGATCGGGGATTGGGAGAGCTGTGCTGTATTATTGAGATTCATTTGGCATTTTATAGATTCCAGTTGAATATTTTTTTTAGAGTTTCAAAGTTTCAAATGTTACTGTAATCATAATTCCTTTAATCCTTAATCTTCCCCACCGACAGCCAAACGTAAGGAGATCCTCTACCAGCAGTTGAAACACCTTAGAGAAGATGATAACCTGACTGATGACCTGACACGATTATCTGCAACGCGATTGGCCGGAAAGTTGACCTTAAGTGATTTGAGATTGCCTTTAAAGCCAGAGTTCCTGGCTAAAATTGGGACAGTTCATGGTGAGTTAGTTGATCACGTGATCGGTCATCGATTTCGCCCCCCTTTATATTAACTTTATTATTAGCGCATTTTTTGAAATTTAATTTTGAAAATAATTCCAGATACGTCGGTGACCTACCTCTTAGTGATCGTCCAATCAGGCGAAAGCATGTCATCAACGCAGACGATAACCACAGCGCAGCCCACGGTCCTGGGTGGCCTGGAAATCCCCGGGCAGCTAAATTTAACTGGGGTTTTCCAGAATTTTCAGGCTTTGTTAGAGATATATTCTCTTGTTAGTTTTGTTTTTGAGCTTTTTGGAAATCATGACAAACCATCAATCATTCCACTAACACGCACATCCCCTAAAAAATCCACCCGACAAAAATAGTGTGTCCCCAGAGACGGAAGATCCACCGTCCCTAAAAAAGCCCGGGTAATTAGGAAGATCATAGACATGCGCAAACACAACAACAACCGCCACAACATGTTACATCAGCAGCAACAACACAATACGGACAGCGAATCAGACGATGCGACTACTGGCCTAAAGAGTTCATATTTTGTGTCCGTCGCCCGGCTGTTGTTCGGGGAGAAGGATTTAGGGCGGGGGCACTTCGCCCTGGAAGGGGTGAGTTTTTTCCTTCTACAAAATGGATGATAACATTTCAGATATTAGTGTTTCAAATGATATTATTTCATACGATGATGTTTCATATATTAATACTTCAAATATATTCATAATTTAAATAGTAACCTTTCAAAAAGCAATTAATTTGAAACCCCTAAGGTACCTTATGATAATCCACTGCAGGGTAGTTTGCACATGAAGCTAAAGTACACCCCTGAATCCTCTGTTCTTCATAGATCCTATTTGGTTGGTGTGGATGGTGATGAAGGTGCTGCTGCTGCTGATGATGATGATGATAATATCATACACCTCCACACACACACACACGCACACACAAACACTCATAAATATTAACAGAACGTTTGCTCATCTGATTCACATTCCACAACAACATCATCATCCACCAATCACAACGCCGGCACGGCGATGATCGGCGCAGAAAGAGGCGGAGCTTTCACGAGAAGATGGTGTTGTCTGACCAATAGCGAGATCCTAATCTGGAGGAATGCTTCTGACGAACTTATTAAGGTTTGATTTGATTGGACAAGAGTGAATGAGGCTTTGATTTGATTGGACGAGAATGAATGAGGCTTTGATTTGATTGGACGAGAGTGAATGAGGCTTTGATTTGATTGGACGAGAGTGAATGAGGCTTTGATTTGATTGGACGATGAGAAAGGTTATTTTTACCCCTTAGGATCCAGTAGTGCGCGTGGATTTGATGTCGTGCATCAACGAACAGGTCCTGCCCATCTCCATCGACTACCGATCGGTCAGGGACACTTTCGAGCTGGTTGTCGTCTGCTCGGCTCGTGGGAAGAGTGTCGGAAGGATCAATGAGAGGATGAATGAAAATAAACTGTCCTCCCAGAGGTACGATGATGATCATGATGATGGTGGTGGTGATGATGATGTGGGAAACGATGATGATGATGATGTGGGAAACGATGATGATGATGATGTGGAATAAGATGATGATGATGGTTGTGGTGGTAATAATTGATAATTTCACGATTCGTAATAACACATACATAATTCACTCGTCGATTAAGCCCCAGTTATAATAATTATCCCTCATAATTAATTATAATATATAATAATTACTTAATATTATAATTCGCCAATCATAATTCACCACTGAACAACAGGTTCTGGCTGACTGCAGACACGGCGGACGAATGCACCGTCTGGTGCAGGCGCACTCAAAATGCACTCACTCAATTAAGGGCATGGCATCCATACGCTGTACCGCCGGTCAAATTTTTCCCGCCATGTTTATCGCCATATTCGTTTGACTCCTGCTTGTAATAGAGACGACGTTTGATGGTGATGATTGGAATGGTGGTGGTGATTATGATGACTGAGGTGCTGGTGATTGTGACGAAAATGGTGATTATGGTGATTCAGATGGTGAATATGATGATGATTGTTGTAATGAAAATTGCGATGGTTCCCATGATTATGAAAATGTTTTAGATGATGATTGTGGTGGTGAATTATGTGGCTGTGATAATGATTGAGATGATGATGATGGTGAATATGGTGATTATGATAATGATTGAGATGATGATGATGGTGAATTTGGTGATTGTGACAATGATTGAGATGATGATGATGATATGGGTGAAAAAGTATATGGGGGCTATAATTATAACAATGAAAAAGATAATAATTATTATTATTATTACGACACTGACGATGTTTACAGTGATTAAGATATAATTAAATCACTAATCAATGTGATTAAGATATCATTGAATCACTGTTTATATGTAGACGTGAATTTTTTACTATATAGATTTTCAATGGTTGCTAACACGTGTGAATTCATGTTACCATTCTTACTGTTCTCATATTATTCTTCGTATTATTATAAGATTGATTGCTTAATTGATTGATGAATTAATTGATTGACGAATTGATTGATTGATGTATTGACTGATTGATGAATTGATTGATTGATGTATTGACTGATTGATGAATTAATTGATTGACGAATTGATTGATTGATTGATGTATTGACTGATTGATGAATTAATTGGTTGACGAATTGATTGATTGATGTATTGACTGATTGATGAATTAATTGATTGACGAATTGATTGATTGATGTATTGACTGATTGATGAATTAATTGATTGATGAATTGATTAATTGACTGATTGGTTTATAAATTCTTTGTTTTTTTTGGGTTTTTTGAAAAAAATTTCATCTCACAAACAGTTAAATTGTACTTTAGGTTAAAAATTTTATTATATGAATATTGTAATTATTTAATTATTACGATGATTGTGGTGATAGAATATATATATATATATATATATATATATATATATATATATATATATATATATATATATATATATATATATCTTATTCTCATGTTTATTCCATGTATGTATGTATGTGTGTGTGTGTTTATATATGTATGTACACATATACGCATACATATATGTGTGTATGTTAAGCTGCTCAATTAATAAAACTGTGCTATATTCATTTAAAATCATTTCATATATAATTTTGTATATTGTGTGTGTGTGTGTTTATTAGTAGTAAATATATATGGTAACTTAGTTGCGTTCTTTTAGCCAAACCATTGATCATCATAGGATTCAGATATATAAACCAACACCAAATATAATACACATAAAATGTATTTTTACAATATTCTGTAAATTCTACCATTCGGTAGAATTTGTTTTTTTTTTTGTAAAAATTATGGTCTATTACCAACATATAATATATATATATATATATATATATATATAGTATTGTATGCCAACAATTCGGTAGAATTCATACAATACTGTATAAAATATGGTCTCCTTCCAACATATATATATATATATATATATACATAGACATATTTATATATATATATACACACTTATATACACTCAACAAACTACAAAACCATTATAGTTTCCTGAAAGTCATTAAATCAATATTTTTTAATGAACTATTCACCGATAACAAATATATATTTTAAAATCTAAACATTACCTATGTATGTATGTATGTGTGTGTACGTACATACACAATACATGCACACATATATACGTATACACAAAGATAAACAACATGCATACATACGTACGTACGTACCTGCATAGTGCATACATGCCATACGTACATACATACAATTCGATACAATATTTGTATGGACTGCATGCACATTAATGAGTTTACAATATTAACAATCGAGATATACTTACAAATATTTTACATGGACATTGATAAAGAGAGCTCAACAGTTTGATAAAATTGCATGATCAAGTAGAATTGTGGTTGATAAAAGACGTTCATTCATTCATTTGTTCGATAATTTATTCATTTCACTGTTTTTTAATTTTTCCTATCATTCGTTTATCCATTCATTCATCCATCTATTATTTAATTAATTTCCGGATAGATATCCATCCAACTACACAAAATCATTCATTCATTCATCTTTCTTCTTTTCTTCCTTCCACCTATCTTCCACCATACTCCAGGATCCAGTTAAATAGCGGAGCCTTATTAGAAAGAGGTCACGCCCCATTTGAAGTGAGGCCCAGAGTGGAGAAAGTTTCGAACCTGCGTGAGTGTATGTGTGTGTAATTGTGTGTGTGTTTATGTCTGTGTCTGTGTGTGTGTATGCATTAGAACGATCTACTAAGTATACATTTATACATTAATATGAATGGCCTCCGATTTATTCGATACACTAACCAGGAATTTCGGTCCAACTAACGGCCACCTCAGCTATGGGGACATTGTAGTGCTGTGCTATGTGCAACAGGTCAACATCAAAGGCCCTAAAATCAAGTTATTACTATCATTATTGTTATCACTATCGTTATTATTATTATTAGTATTGTTGTTGTTGTTGTCGTTGCCATTACTCTATATCCATCCATACAAATGAACATTATACGAGTGATCTAGAGAAGTTGCTCTAACAAATAATTTAAGACGAGCATACACGAACCAGAAACAAACAAACATAAATACACACAAACACAAACTAGGAACAAACAAACATACATACACGAACTGGGAACAAACAAACATACACTAACTGGGAACAACCAAACATACACGAACAAACAAACAAGCATACACACACAGGCAGGCAAGCATCCTAACCATCTATGGACGTGGAGGTTAAAGAAGAAGAGCCTAGCAGCAGCCCTACTAAACAATTTGAAACCGCACTGCGTGTCTTTAACGCCGCGAACACACAGGAACCAGACGCAAAAGTGGAAAACGTACATTAAGATGGTTCGGAAGACTGAACGCTGTGTGTATGTGTGGTGTGTATGTTGTGTTTGTGATGAGTGTATGTTTGTGTATGCTGTGTGGCGTGTGTGTGATTTTGCGTGGTATCAATGGCAATGATATCAAAGGTGATGATCTATATGACAACATCATCATCAATACGTTATTATCGTCGTCGTCATCACCATCATCGTCATAAGTACTTTGGCAATGCTATCTTTCTCCAGATGGGCTCTTGATCCACACACAACAGCCCTATCGTCATTCTGTCAAAAAATTAAACTAATTATTATTATTTGGTTATCAATTAAATAATTATTCAGTTGTCAATCAATCAATTAATTCATTTTACGGTCAATTATTCTGACAACCAATCAATCAAATAATCGGCCAGACAGTCAATTTTTCAATCAACCAACCAGACAGACAACAACCAATCAACAAACTAGACAGACAGACCATCAACCAATCAATCAACAGACAACAACCTCTCCACCAATCAGCTTCTTTAATTCAGCCTCCAACTTATTAACATCTGAAAATTTCGTGGCACCGTCTGCGTCGCAAAATAGAATGTACTTACCCCGACACCTCAGCACACCCTGTAAAAAATTATTATTATTATTATAGTTATAATTATTATAATTATTGTTATTTTTATGGTTTGTATTATAATTAGGAATAACTTTATCATCATCAACCGGTAGTTTATCATCTTATCATCAATCAACCAGCCAATCACAATTAGCCATCCAAATCACAATTGGCCAATCAGAAATTTGACCCCACATACATCATAATCAACTAGCCAATAACAATTAGACCATCTAAATCACGAAAAACCAATTACAAAACTTGATTTATCCAATCTATCTACCCAGCCAGCCAATATTAATCAACCATAATAATACATCGGCCAATCACAATAGGATGTCACAATCAACCAACCAATCAAAGTAAACTATCACATCATAACCATTAACCAATCACAATCAACCATCATATTTTATCTACCAATGACAAGCTTTACTTGACCCACCATTTTGACAGCCCCTCCCTTTCCTCTGTTGGTGACTTGGGTGAGTACTCTGACTTTATCCGAACCGTACTGTCTACTGTACTTCAAGGCAATCTGAATTTTGATTGGTCGATTGAGGTGAGGTGGGTGTAGCTTATGCCATGTCAATCAACTCCATGGTTTGGTTCAATTTTAGTGAAAGATTAGTGAGATGATTCTTTTTTTTTTTTGTAAAAATTTATTTTCAAAAATTTGATTTTTGACAAATGCATTCTAACAAAATTTTTATTAAATAATATTTTACATATTTATAACTATAGTTTTATTATTTATCTAACTGAAAATAATTAAATAAACGAATAAAATAATTAATCGATTAATTAATTAGATAATTAAAATTACAAAACCTTAGACGTGTCATCTTTGCTACCATCATCCACCACAATCACCTCATACGTGAATTTTGGATCTAATCTCTATGGAGTGGGTGAAAATAGGTAAACTTAAAAAAATTATCAATTAGAAGATTACAATTAGAAGATAGCCTAGTGGTTATGATCGCCTGGCTCTGTTACGCATTGACCGAGTTCGAATAGGACGAAAGGATTTCGGGCTGTCACAAGCTTCGTGTGAGATGCATCGTTTAGCATGTATTCATGGAAGAGTGTAATAAACATTTAACCTTTTTATAATATAATATTAATTATATCATTATATATATATTATATATATTTATAATATATTATTAAATTATATTATTTTAATAATATAATATTATGTTGAAAATTATTATAGAAAATATATGAAAAAATTTTTTTTCTGAAATGTTCATGGATTAACTCTTCTCACATTCCTTTTTTGAAGGTATTCCATTGTTTCATCCATCATTAAAGATACTGAATTTTTTTAATTAAATTTTAAAATAAAATAAATAAATAAAAACAAGTAAATTATATGAATATATAATTTATAAATCAAAAAATTAAGAATAAAAAATAAAATATATATATATGGTGTTACAGTTTTAAGTTCAGTTTTAAATTTGATTTAAATTAAATTTTTAAAAAATATTAAACTAATACTGACACCTATCCTCTTCATTGTATGCAGGCACAATGATTGACATGTAGCAGGTTGCGTCATCTTTTAATGATGGAAATCTACTTTTAGAAACATTTTCACTAATTATGGTGGTCCCAGATGATGTGGCAGAGGGTGGTGAAAAGTTGATGAAGTAATTTTCACTTTCATCACACCAAAAGTCTGGTTCTGATTTTGTTAAGTACAGAAAAATGCCTAACTGGGATAATTTAAGATAAGTTTTAAATCTTAAAAATATAAATAAATTATTACACAAAAACAAAACATTATTACTAGCATATAAAACTTAAAAATTAAATTTATTGCATCAGATTTGTATCATGTTGTAAATGTGTGCGATGGTTATTCTTGTCATATGTCACTGAAATTAGTACAAAATTACAAAACTAGTGAATTACATTACATGACAATACATCTTTACATTACATTGTAATGATTACCATTGATTACAATAATAACATATTGAATATCAATATGAATATATGATTATATATATATTATAAATATTCAATATATGATACATAAAATTTGAATTTTCAAAAAACTAACCATAACCATAGCAACAACGGCTAAAAAACAAAATAAACTAATTAAACAACACAACATTTTTCGTTTTTTTATACAAGTTATTTTAAAACAAAAATTTATTGAAATCTTTTTAAACCGCCATAACTAGATGGGTGTTAGTAATTCTCTGCTAACGTTGACAGATTTGTAGAAAGTTAATTTTATTTTGTAATTTTAGTTTATAAAACTTTTTATATAAAAATGTTAATACTAGTATTTATAAAAACATAATATAAAACAGAACAATAAACATTACAAATTTTTTTTCAAATTTATTAATAAAATCAAATCCCGGCTGTTTGTTGTCAGGACCAGGTCAGACATGTCAATAATTTCAAGCTTTCCATACATCATTTGCTGATCATGAAAATTCATTTTTAATAAAAATTTCATCACCATCGTTTCTTACGTTACATTTTTGTTGCCTTGTGTTTGCTCTAGATGTAATCTCCTAATTTTTCCATAGAATTGCATACGTAGTCTAGTTTTTGTTGTCTTTTCACAGTTTTTGCAAGGTTAATAATTTTTTACTTTTTCATTTTTTTTTCTCAATATTTTTGAAAACTTGAAACTGCAATGGATGGCATTGATTAAATCTAACTAACTAACTAAAAAATATAAGTTGATAAAGAATTTTTCAGAATGAATATGGCGGATGTCGACGATGATCCAGTAGTTTCTGAAATTAATGTAGCCATTTCAAAACAAACTGCCAATCTTCTATGTTTCCTGCAGTATCCACTTCATTCTAAATTTGTCAATTTCGACTCAAGTTCAGTGGCAGGGGTCAAAGTTAAGTTCCAGTCTCAAAAGCTACAAATAGATTTGAAGCCATTGTCTGGCATGTTTGAGGAAAAAAGAGATTGGGCTCTGGATGGTGATGAAGAGAACAATGTAAATACAAATAGATTTCTTAAATCAGCAACTCCAAATACAAATGCGAATCATTTTGCATTGGGTTGTTTTGTCGATAACACATTTTTTCTCAATCCAATTTCAACAATTTATGAGTTAAGACCAAATATGGTTGATAAAAAGAAGAAACATAGCTCAGTTGAAAATGATAATGATGACAATACAGATGCAGAAATAGTTACGCCAATTTTGAAACAAAAAGAGACAGATGCCGCAAAAAGCAAAAGACTCGCTTCCTATGAACATCTCAAAAATTTCCAAGATAAGGAAGCTTGGGTCTCCTTAGATCTCTACACAATGTCTGAGAATGAGTTCCAGAACTCATTTAGCAGCAGGTTAAAAACGAATCCCATCTCTGAATTCTACATGACCGCATTCGAATATGTTAACACTTTAGCTGGCGTTGAAGATGTGAAAAGTGAATTCAGACTAGAAAATTGTGCACAGCATCAAACTGTTGAAAAATTGAAATCCTTCAAGCTAAATGAGCAAGTGAAGCTGGTGATGGAATGGTCAAAAGTCATTAGCTTCAAGCAAATAATTTCTCTACTGCCTGAAGTTCAAAGTGTTGATGACCTATTGAAACATCTACAGCAGGTTGCCATCCTAATACAGGGAAATTGGGTCATAAAAAGTGATTTGTTATTTGGGAACCATCAATCCTGTCAGACCCTAAGGGCCATCAGGGATTTCATTTTATACCAGTTTGCCCATGATAATAAGATCACCAGAGCAGAAGTTAATAAGTTTTTTGGGCTTACCGAAGTCGATGAAAATTTGATTTTATATGATATCTCAGAAATGTGTGTAGGTTCTAAGAAGTGGAAGTTCTGTGTGGAGAGGGATGATGATTTCATCGCAAGGTTCTCTGAAATAGCAGAAAGGCAGTTGCTACTTATAAACAGAAGATACCAACAGATTAAAAACTCGTATTTTCATCAAAAATAATTTGTTTTTAAAACAAATTATTTTTTTTATATTTATATATTTTTTTCTCACTTCAATAACGTTAATTTTTAATGCATTGTTTATTCTTTGTTAAATAAATGACGTCATGTTTGTATCTTTGTTTTCCAGATCTTCATTTTGACTTAATAAAATACGAAAATGTTTCATTATTTTTTCCTTCACTAATATTTTCTGAAAATTTTAAATAAAATATTCTTCATGTTAGCACAAACAAATTAGTTGAGATGATGATTTTTTATTTTTATCAAACGACGACATTAACAAGACATCAAATGCTGCAATGTAGCGCGCTAAAATGCTAATAGATACGTGTCGTTTTGTAAAAATCTTAAATAAATACATATATTACACATAAAATACAGTTATTAAAATTACAGTAAAGACATATCCCTAACTGTGTGTAATAATAGCTGTTAATTATAAATTAATCTGGTAAATGTACTGCATCAATTTTTTCCGAAAATACGGACTTTGAAGAGCAAAGTAGCAAAATAAAACCGATATATCTTAAATAATAAAGCCAATAACGAATCAAGAATTAGCTTCCTCATTTAGCTTTTTCACCAGTTTTGCTAACCTGAAGCGGCAATGAGTAATTTTGGCGTATTTTAACACCAGCTGGCAATAATTTGGAAACGGCAGATTGAGGCACTTGTAGTCTATAATCGTATTTAAGCTGAGAAATTCAGACGTTTTTTCGAGAGATAAAATTTGTAACTCTAAGTACTCTTTCATGCAATTGGCCGATTTATACAACGAATGACCCCCTTGCTGTATCGCGTCATTAAACTTTTCAACCGCTGTTGCCATAAGTTGTAGTTGGTTATTCTTAGGTTCGGCTTTTTTGGGATCGGTTTGATACTCCCATCTCAACTTTAAATCTCCCATATGATGGTTTGTATTAAGTTCGCTTATCATTTTTACAACTTGGTCTAAAATAACTTTCCTTTTTTCAATTTCTGATTCAAGATTCTTCTTCTCTTCTTTAACTTTTGCCTCAGCGACCACGAATTCATGAGTCTTGTGTCCGTGGATGAAACATTTCGAGCAGTAGTATCCGTCGCACTTTTTGCAGTAAATATCGACATCTTGGTCGTGGAAGGCACAAACTCTGTACTTAAATCTATTCAAAACGTATGTCTGACGGAATAACTCCACATCAAATGCATCGTGTGATTTGTTTGTCTCAACTTCATTATGTAAGTCAAGGCAGTCGAAACAAAACGTCTGCTTGCACATCATGCAATACTTCTTCGCAGGATTTTTCAAACATTTTTTGCAAAAACCTCCGTCATTTTTCAGGTATCTTACAACCTTCTCTAACCTCACGCCGAATTCATTATTTGGAATTGAGTAGAGATCTTCAGGTCTACCGTAACTTTTCTGGCAGGTGAGACATGTTATGTTATCGGAATTTTCAGAAAAAAGTTCTAAGCAGGACAAACAGTTTGAATGCCTGCAAGGCAAGATTTTTGTGATCTCATTTCTGTTGCAAAAACTACACTGGCTACTAGACATGCTGTTTTTGAGGCTGAAAATAAATTATAAAAATTGATAAATAATAATATAATTAGTAATAAAATAATATAAATTAATAATAATATATTTTTGAAATAATCTACTTCTGTATAACGCGGTTTGCAAAATTGCATGCGTTTTATTGAGTAATGTTTTTTTGAATTTTCGCAAAACTGACTTACGGCAGAGCAGGAAAAGGCCCTGACCACCATCATCTCCACAAACAGAGGAACCCCACAAAAGCATTAATTGCAATTTTGTGATTTTAAGATATTTATCTATTGAAAAAAACACTATTTTTAATTACAATAAAATGTAAAATGATCAAAAAAGTGTCGGCAACTTTTTTTCAACAACCGAAATTACAAATCATATGCCATGCCGATGCTGCTACGAAATTTAAAATAATTGGGGACTTCAACTTCTTTGTTGCACTAGGGCCGCCCTCACTTTTTGCTACCCCAGAACCTCCAAATCCGGTCCTGAATGTTTGTATATCGTTTATGTGCCAATAGAACATTTGTATAACATTTCTAAGAGTTGCATGAGAACTCTTATAACGTTTATTTAAGAACTCACGAACAACAACAACAACATACTTGATGCAGATGACAAATAGAATAATTCAATATTATATTACTTCGATGATGAAATGTTTACTTCAGAAAAAGAGAGAGAGAGAGGAGGGGAAAAGAGAGAAAGGGGGAAATAGACATTTCAAGAGAGAGAAATAGGTAAATATATATATATATATATATATATATATATATATATATATATATTTATATATATATATAGAAAGATAATTAAACACGAATAAATGAGAAAAAAAATTAAAAAAGAAGAGAGAAAAAAATTTCGCATTACTCATTATAACCTTAAATATAGGTTTATGTTGATTAGACATAAAACCACTATATCAAAAATATTACCAATTTTAATGATAAGATAATACTTACTTGAAACTGAATACTTTTCCAAAAAATTTACCAAAAGAAATATTCTTAATTAAAAATAGATAAAGGATAAATTAATTTTGCAAAAAAATTTAACGGTTTGTGTTTTGTTTATTTTATAATAATAAAGAAATAAATGAATGTACAATGAATGTAAAGGGTTTGCTAAAGAATGAATAAAAATCGTGTGTGTGTGTTGTGTATGTATGAATGTATGTATGTATGTGTGTATGTATTTGCGTGTGTATTTATGTGTGTATAATTATATTATATTATAGAATTATAACTATATTAGTATTTTAGCCAAGTTGCAAACGGTTATTCAATGGTTATTCAAAAGCATATGTGTACATTCATGCATACTTACACGCACACATACATACACATATACATATATACACATACATACACACACACATACATACATACATACACACATACATACGCACACACACACACACACACACACACACACACACACACATATATATATATATATACAACAACAATTCGATAACAACAACAACCATAATTATAACAATAATAACAACAGCAATAACAACAAAATCGAAAAATTCGGAATTCCCAGATGCTATTTTAAGAACAGGGCTAAACTTTATTTTCACTTTCGCGTCAAAATGTAAGCAACAATGTTAGTCACCATATATATATATATATATATATATATATATATATATATATATATATATATATGGAATTTACGGGGTATATATATATATATATGTGGAATTTACGGGGTTATATATATATATATATATATATATATATATACCATGCAAATTCCAAAGTTTTCGTTTCTCATATCTGTATTTAAAGGGCTCTCAGATAAGTTGTAAATCAACATTTTCGTGAATTAAATAGAGAAATTTATTACGAATAGATAAAAATTTTAACAGTCATAATATTATATTAAAAGAAGGCTACATAACATAAATATACTAGATTCTCTGTATACGCAAAGGTCTGTTTGCCGCCAAGTTGTTTATCCAATTGTATCTGTAACCTTTTAATATTTTTGATAAATTCTTCATTGATATTAATTATGATGATAATATTGAAAATAATTATAAGGAATTAGGAGTATAATAATAATTATTATTATAGTTATTAATGATGATAATGATTAATGTTTTATAAGTCGCAGTTTTCAAATGTGATTTGAATTAATTTTTAGCGTTGTAAACAATTGACCAGAGCTTCACCATTAACAACAATAACAACAACTACAACAACAACATCAGCATCATCAACTACAACATTATAACTCCCATAGAATCAACAACAACCATCAAAATTCCCATACTATCGTCTACAACAACAGCAGCAGCAGAACCAGCATCAACAACGACAACAACAACAACAGCCTGTACACCAGCAATAGCCAAACGCTAAATAACCTAAAAGATGAAAAGACACGTTAAAATATATTCAGCAGATGACAGCAAATATTCATTCCAGTCCAAACCGAACGAAAGAAATTTAAAAAGAAAAAGATCATCGTCGACTGTCACTCTAAATCGTCCAAGACAACATTACGAGAAGGTGCCAGATAAATCGGTATCATCCGGCAAATCGGTGGTCGATAAACCGGTACACAACCAAAACGGTATCCATAACGATTCAGTTCTGGATCCAAATAACGAAACCAATATTTTGAGAATATTCGGCAACTACAAAATTTCTCCACATTCCACTGATTACACGTTAAAAGATAACTTCACGTTAAAAGATAACTTCACGTTAAAAGATAACTTCTCTAAGACTAGCCGATTAACCGACTCGATTCCAGAACCGAATCTGGCACAAAACCCCATACCGAATACCGATTCAAATCAGTTAAAAACTGACAAAAAGTTACACATTAACGTCTACATCTCTGGTTCACATTCCGTGGGAAAGTCCACTTTAGTGAGGAATGTTCAAGATAGATATCCGGATTTTGTCATCAGAGAAGAGATTGCAAGGAAGTACATGACAAGTCAAGGTCAGGGTCATATTTTAATATTAATATTATATTTTTTTATAATTAGATTAATAATAATAATAACAATAATAATAATATTAACAACAGGAATTTCGGCGAAAGACTTCCATCATTGCCCTGATGAATTCGAGAGGGTGCAGAGGGAGTTCATGAGGTTGCAGGTGGCCAGGGAGGAGGAAGATGATGAAATCGATGCTGGAAGTATGTTCGTTTAAGTTGGTTTGTTTGTCTGTTTGTTTGTCTGTTTGTTCGTTCGTTTGTTTGCTTGCCTGTTTGTTTGCTGGTTCGTTTGTCTGTTTGTTTAATCAAACGTTCGTTTCATGAATTTATTCATTCTTTAGTGAAAGTACAAATGAGTGAATGAATGAATGCGAACGAATGAATAAATGAACGAACGAATGAATGAACGAATGAATAAATGAAGGAATGAATGAATGAATCAAAGAATGGAGTTGAATAATCAATTAATTAACGAATTAATAAACAATTGAGTGAACGAATAGACACAATGTTATATTATGATAAAATTGTAACCATAATTTCACTCCAGTTTTTATAAACGACCGTGGCCTGGATGGACTCATCTACCTCATCCACTACCACCCAAATGGTAGAAAAATTGTGGACGATATGATAAACAATGACAATGGCGTCAAGCGTTGCATAGACAAGTAAGTTTTTTTTTAATTTTATTTCTGGGTGTTTTTAGTCAATTTTTTCACTGTGGGTGATATTATAAACAACGACGATGACGTCAAACGTTGCATAGACAAGTTAGTTTAGATGTTTTCATTAAACTATTTTTTATCGTTGGCGATATTATAAACAACAGTGATGACGTCAAACGTTGTATAGTTAGGTTAGAATGAGTTATTTTCATTTAGATGACATTAGAAGAAAAAGGGCTTGACCTCAGACATTGCATAGATAAATTAGTTTAGTTATTAATTTTTAATGTGGACAAGGTTACTAACGTTCTAAGCCACGATGATGACGTCAAGCCGTTATGGCATAGATAATTTAGTCTAATCGTTTTTCAATCTATCTAAACAGGGCAAGAAAGCCAACTTCACTGACGTTCATAGTGAAGCCCCACAAAAAACTACTCGAGGACGACAAGGTCAGGCTAGTGTCCCCAATCGACGACCTTGAGAACTTCCACAACAAGATGGTGGCATTTTATAGGGATGAGCTGAAGATACCGTTTCGAGTTATCGACTGTCTCGGCCGAAATGAAAGAGTCGAATTCGTATCGGGGACGATTTTTAATACTGTTAATGATGGATAACGGATATTATTGTTATTATTATTGTTGTTGTTATTATTATTATTATCATCATCAATATAACAATTATAATTATTTTATTTATTTACTTATTATTTTAGTTCAAGGCACATTGTTAATATTGAAAACGATTCCTACCGATAAGACAATTGCTTTTACAAGCATTTTTAACGACTAGTCTACCTTATTAACCAATATATTACACTCGTTTTGTTACCATATCCATTTCATTATAATTAACCTTCACACACACACGCACACACACAGACACACACACACACAAGTAGACAAACACACACTGACTTATGTAAAAAAAATTGCTTGATGCATGATATCATTGTTGTTTTATTTTATTTTGTTTTATGTTGTTTTATTTGTTGTTAAATAAATTTTTAAATAAATTGACTAACTAACCAACTAATTTTATTCAGAACTATGAAATTGTATTAATAATATTGTTAATTATTCAAAGATATTTGGAATAAAATTTACCTGTACGTGTTTGTTTGTAATTATGTGGTCACCATGGTAACGCACAGAAAACCCCCAAAAAAACATTTGAACGTTTGTGAAAGTGTTTGGAAGAGGTTGATGCCAATTAATTAATCAATTAATAGATTGATTAATTAATTGATTAAATAACTGAAAGAATAACCAATTAATTAATCAATTAATTGATTAAGAGGCAAACTAAATAACAAAAGTACAACTACTACAGTTTTTAAGGCAAGTGTTGAAAAGATTTTGAAAGCATTCGAGAGCGTTATAATGTCAAGTTAGTATTATTTTATTATCATTACTACTATTGTTATTACCAATACTACTACAACTGCTTCTGTTGTGGCAGCAGCTGCTACTACTACTACTACTACCACCACTACTACTACTGCTACTGCTACTACTACTGCTGCTGCTACTATTTCTACTACTACTACTACTATTACTACTACTACTACTACTACTACTACTACTACTACTACTCAATACTTCCTACTGGCTCTGTTGATATTACAACTAGTATGACAAGTATTCTTCTATTTGTAAGTAATTTTAAAGTTCTTTAGAAAAAGGACTATGTTCAAATCGATGTTGTAAGTTTTTTGTTACCTACCAAATGAAATCCCTTTCTTGTGATTTCGCGGGCCCTGCCCAAGCTTATTGGTATTTTTTTTTCTTGATCTTTCTTTAAAGTTTGATTGCCTTTAAGTTTTTATATTTTAAGGGCTGGCATTCATCTAGAGTTTGACCGGTCTCAATTTTTAACTCTTTTAACAATTATTTCTTTTCTCAGAGCCTTCTCTAGCGATTGGTTTTGAATTTCTAAAATTTTTTTTTGCAAAAATGTATTAAATAATAATACCATAATTCTACCCTAAATGAATGACCCAGTGGAAACTCTCTTTACCCCCTCTAAACAGATAAATTGCCCCTACACCCCCCTTGCAAGGACCCCCTCTTGTACGGTAGTGGCAAAAATGTTGCTGAGCAAATCACCGACGAGTTGAATACCTGTCACTATTGTCACAAAGCCGGTTAGTACCATTGCTATAGTCATTATTATTTTATTATAATGATAAAAGTAGTAATTATTATTATTATTATTAGTAGTAGTAGTTGTTGTTGTAGCGGTAGTAGTAAGAGGAGTAGTAGCAGTAGTAGCAACAACAACAAAATCGAAATAATAGTGGCAGTAGTAATGGTAGTAGGCTATTAGTATTATTAGTAATAAAAGCAGTAATAATAATAATAGTAATGATGAAGATGGTGACGAAATAAAATAACAAAAAATATTCTTTACAAATTTTGCACGAAGCTTACTCTGGCCGCCACAGAATTCTGGTAAAGTGCGGACATATTTTGTGCGAAGATTGTTTCATCATCTTGTTGAGACCCAACGACAACAACAACAACAACGACGACATCAATTTCAATAAAAGTTACATCATCAACAACAACAACAGCAATTACACTAGCAGCAAATTCTTCCTCGCTTCCAACTGTTCCGATCACAGTAAACTACCATCACCACAACAACAACAACAGCAACCAACCAAAGATCAAAAAGTTTTGATCACGTGCCCTCTATGTCACCTGACCGACTCATTTCCGGTTAGGCGCCTGAACAAGATGGCCGCCAACTCGGCCAGTGAAGCAATGGCAGATAGGCTTCTGAGGCGGCATAACAGGGCTAACGGGGCCCTAAACACGTTCTATGACATCAGAGATTATAGGGTTGATCCAGTTAGAGGAAAAGCTGCATTCTGATTGGCCGATGAAGCTGCTTTTTGATTGGTCGATGAAGCTGCTGTGATGGCTTTTGTGATTTTCAAAACTATTAAATCATTTCCACTGTCTGACAATAATTATAATTAAAGATTAGATTAATCGAAAGTATAAAATTATTATTAAAAATGCAATAGCATAAGACGTATTCAACCAGTTCATAAACTTACACACATCGTGCATACACGCACACACACACACACACACACACACAACACAACACACACACACATCACACACACACATATATGTAAGATATTTGACATTTAAAAAATTTAAATAGCTTGCGATCTCGATGATGATCATGATATACACACACGCACACGCAAACACACGCACACACATACATATATAAGATATTTTTTAATTCAGCCAGACAATATTTTCAGTGCCGAGCGTATGCCGGCTTTAACTAGTTAATCTAATGGCGTGTCAAAATTTTCTTCCCGAGTTCAATTAAACGATCACTCTTTAAGCAATGACATAATGATAATCAAAATATATCCATAGAGTAATTTGTTACAAAATCGTTAGCATATGTAGTAGTATTTGTAGTAGTAGTATTTGTAGTAGTAGCTGTAGTAGTAGTAGCTGTAGTAGTAGTAGCTGTAGAGCTGTAGTAGTAGTAGTAGCTGTAGTAGTTGTAGCTGCAGTAGTAGTAGCTGTTGTAGCTGTAGCTATATATATATATATATATATATATATATATATATATATATAGATTTCAGGCCATCATATATACAGTTCATGCTGTTACCAATTTTTGGAATTTTGCTTTATAGTAGATTATCGACGAAGAAGGATCATATAGAGATGATATTGATTTCACACATCTCTTCATGTCTCTGGAATTTATATAGAATTAAGTTAAGCACTGGTTGGATAGATTAACCTTGGAAACTTTGGTTCATGCGTTTGTAACATTTCGGTTGGATTACCGCAACAGCTTGTTGTATGAAAATACCTGATAAATCTATTGCTATTCTGCTATATATATATATATATATATATATATATATGCAAATATCGTTAAATATTTTTGCCCATTTTGCATTAATTAATTTTTTAATAAGGATTTCGGCAACACGAAGCTGTTTTAATTCATATTTATTATCATTATGTGTCATCCTAGGCTTACAACGTTGTTTCGACATACAGTCATCATCAGACCCTGGTTTTACGAAATATCAAAAATTGAATTATAATTTAAACATTAAAATCAAGAAATTTAATGAAAAGTACAAGAAATGAAATTATGACGTTGTAATTAGAAAATTAGAAATATGAAAATGTAAAATATGAGAAAATGTTACCTTGTAATAATAAAATATTGTAATAAAACAATAAACGGTTTTAAACGAATGAAATTAAAACAAAATTATCAAAATAAGTAAATAAAATTGTGTAGAAACGTATAATAAAACAATTCAGTTAGACGGGAAAAACAAGTGTTTCGTGGCGGGATGATATTAAAAGTGAAAGTCAGTAAGATGATATAAAAAAGGTGAATGTAGAAATTAAAAAAAACAAATAATTTAGATAAAGAAAAAATAAAATTTGAAACAAAATAAAATGACGTTATTAAAATAAGTATTATAGAAAGATAAGTAATAGAATATAAATATAAAAAAATCAAAAAATAAAATAATTTAGCAGTTATTGAATAAGGTAGCAAGTGACGTGATGACCATGGATTTTGGACGTGACAATAATAACTGTGTAATAACTGGTCAAAAATTGTCGGACTTAGAGCGATATTCGTATCGTTTGGGTACTGAAACGTCTGCTGGCTTGTTTTCGACTGCAATTGTTGGTATCAGTTCACGATATTGAGAAAATAATTGAAGGGTATGATCGAAACTATTATATTGTTGGTTTAATGTTGGTTTGCATTTGTTGATGTACAGGGCTTCGCGAATTTTGAGACGTCCAGTATTTGATACTGAATCCAGTATTGTTGTATTTGAATCCAATATGGTCCTAGTAAGAGGCATATGGTGCTCGTTGGACATATGGTCTCTAATGGCGCCGTCCCGCAAATGCATAGTGAGCCTACGAGAAAGAGTACGCGTGTGGCCGATGTAACTTTCCACAACACTGTGTGGTATAGGACATGTAAATCGGTACATGACGTTCGTCCTCTCTAACGTAGATGAAGGTGGATTGTTGCTATTTTTTATGATGAGGTTTGAGGTGCGGTTGGTGTTGTAGTATATAATGAATTTTAGTCGACTGTTGTCGTCACAGACCGAAACGTTTGATTTGATGATTCGTTTAATTTGTGATTCATCCATTTTGTAGTTGTCGTGCATTTGGTTTAGGTAATGTAATGGTATTACCTTTTTTTTGAGATTACTGGAGTTATTAGATTATCTATTTTTTGCAAGTCATTTTTGATTGTAGAATCGATTGTTTTATTCGAATAATTATTATTGATTAAAAATTGTTTGATCCGAATTAATTCGGATCTAAAAATATTGATATCAGAGGATATTTTGTATGCACGATGGATTAAATTGTAAACGACGTAGTTTTTGTATCGGTCTGAACAATAAGATGTGTTATAAAGTACTTGACCTGAGTTAGAGGGTTTCACATAAACCCTAGTAGTTAACTGCTCTTCTTTTTCTTCAATTAAGCAGTCAAGGAATGCGAGTCGTTTTTGAGTACTAAATTCTATTGTACACTTTAGATGTGAGTTATTTTGAAAAATGTCTTGCATGTTGCAAATATCAGTAACGGAAGAACAGATGATGAAGATATCGTCGACATAACGAGCATATACTAACGGTTTATTTGTCGGATCGGAAAATATCTTAGCTTCTAGGTCAGCCATGTAAAACTCAGCTAACAGAGGACCAAGCGGTGAACCCATAGCGACACCGTCAGTCTGTATGTACAGTGAACCATCGGGAGCGACAAATGGACTTTCAACGGTACATGACATTAGAAGCTCGAATTAATTGATTATATATATAGTTATATATTGTTATAAACAGTTAAATAGATTTATATATAGTCATGTAGAGTTTTTAATTAAATATAGTTATATAGTGATATATACGGTTATATAGATTTATATATATATATCTAGAGATATTGATTATATATAGTTATATAGTGATATATACGGTTACATAGGTTGATATAAAGTTATGTAGAATTTTTAATTATATATAGTTATATAAGGTTACATACAGTTATATAGAATTACATATAGTTATGTAGAGTTATTGATTATATATAGTCATATAGTGTTATATACGGATATATAGATTTATATATAGTTATGTAGAGTTATTGATTATAAATAGTTATATAGTGATATATACGGTTAAAAAGATTTATATATAGTTATATAGAGTTATTGATTATATATATTCATACAGTGATATTTACGGTTATATAGATTTTTATATAGTTATATAGTGTTATTGATTATATAAAGTCATATAGTGATACATACGGTTATATAGATTTTTATATAGTTATATAGTGTCATTGATTATATATAGTTATATAATGATATATACGGTTATATAAATTTATATATAGTTATGTAGAGTTCTTGATTATATATAGTTAAATAGTGATATATACGGATATATAGACTTATATATAGTTATGTAGAGTTATTGATTATAAATAGTTATATAGTGATATATAGGGTTATATAGATTTACATATAGTATTGTAGAGTTATTGATTATGTATAGTTATATGGTGATATATATGGTTTTATAGATTTATATATAGTTATGTAGAGTTATTGGTTATATATAGTCATAGAGTGATATATACGGTTATATAGATTTATAAAAAATTATATAGTGTTATTGATTATATATAGTGAAATAGTGATATAAATGGTTATATAGACTTATATATAGTTATATAGCGTATTTGATTATATAAAGTTATATAGTGTTATATAAGGATATATAGATTTATATATATAGTTATGTAGAGTTGTTGATTATATATAGTTATATAGTGATATATACGGTTATGAAGATTTATATATAGTTATGTAGATTTATTGATTATATAAAGTTAAATAGTGTTATATACGGTTTTATAGATTTATATATAGTTATGTAGAGTTATTGATTATGTATAGTTATATAGTGATATATACGGTTATATAGATTTATATATAGTTATGTAGAGTTATTGATTATATATAGTCATACAGTGATATATACGGCTATATAGATTTATATATAGTTATGTAGAGTTTTTGGTAATATAAAGTCATATAATGATATATAAGGTTATATAGATTTATATAAAGTTATGTAGAGTTCTTGATTATATATAGTTATTCCAAACCAAACTAACCGAAGCTGAGCCAATATGCATAGATTTATAGGCGGTTTTATGTTGAAATTTTTTTCAATATAATTATATATTTTATAAATTCATTATAAAAACAACAGTCTCAATTGTTATATAAGTACGCACGCAGATCAAATTTTTCGGGGAAAATTCAAAATAGTTTGAGACCACACCTTGCTTAACATCCAATTCCAAGTCGAACCAAGCCAAGCTGAGCCAATATGCTTAGATTAATAAGCGCTTTTATGTTAAAATTTGAAGTTATGTAGAGTTATTGATTATATATAGTTATAAGGTGATATATGCTGTTATATAGATCTAAATATAGTTATGTAGAGTAAATGATTATAAATAGTTGTATAGTGATATATACGTTTATAATGATTTATATATAAAAATGTAGAGTTATTGATTATATATAGTCATATCGTGATATATACGGTTATATAGATTTATATATAGTTATGTAGAGTTATTGGTTATAAATAGTCATAGAGTGATATATGCGGTTATATAGATTTAAATATACTTATATAGTGTTATTGTTTATATACAGTAATATAGTGATATATATGGTTATATAAACATATATATATAGTTGTGTAGAGTTATTGATTATATATAGTTATATTGGGTTATATAAG